CCCGTGAGACCAAATCAGGACAACGACCTCTCAGCCTTCTTGCCGAAGGCGAGGGGGTGGGGGGCCTTCTAGGCCACGTGTCCCAGCCATATATCTGGTCGGCACACTTTAAAACTTTAAGCATGCAGTGGCTAGAGTTGTTCATTCCAGCAGCACGTGTACGGGCCAGTCAATTTAGCAAGTCGACTGTGGCGGGGATCGCTTGAATCAAACGTTTCGCGATTGGGGTTGAGGTCTGACACACCCGGCAAGCATTCCGAAGTCCAAGTGATCCAACCAGTCCCACGGATTCGGGAAACCCAAGACTTGGGGATGCCAAAATTGGTGGGAGCCTCCGTTTGGTTTGGAAGAGAACCAAAAGAATTTGGGCCTCGGTCGTTCAGACTGAACCTAAGGCCCAGCGCAGCGAAGTTGCGGTAGCCCTTAGTTGGTGGATTGGATTGGTGGTTTGGATTTGGACTTGAACGGGCGGAACTTTTCCACCAAACCACCAAACCACCGGGCTCCAAAGAACCAATTGGAGGTAAGCAATTTTTTGTGAACAACCAGTGGGGAATAATTTTGAACTCGGGGCCCCAAAATTAAGCTTTGGACATTTTCCACGGGGTTGGCGTTTTTGTTTGATGGGGACATTCCTTTTCCAACAGGGATGGTCCCCCTGCTCGTTCCCCCTTCCCCCCCAAAAGACGGCGGTTCCGGTCAAAATATCCAAAAGCCGCTGGCTTTTCCATTTGGAAGGGGGCATGGGGTACTCGTACCAAGTTTCCAGAAGACGCTCCAATTTTCCCACGCCGCAGCGAAACACTACGTTTCGGCTGGCTGTGGGTTGTCTCGCACTGGTCCTGCACTGAACTATTGGCCGCACTCACCGGCTGGACTACCTTGTCGAGCTTGGCTAGTAAGGGTGCCCTCTAAGGTGCCATTTGGCCGTGGGTCAAATCCAATGGTACCATTTTGGGGTAGGTGCACCACCCATTTTAGTCTATTTTAGCATTTGCCTATGTAAACCGGAGTAAAGGGCGCGCTGAGCAGGGGCCATCCTTACACCAACTGGCAACCACCGCGCCCCGTGCTCAGATGGGCGCTGCTGCGGAAGAAGGCACGGCCACTGCCAGCGGTCGGCACTTGCGTCTGCCAAAACACGAGCAGGACACAACTCAAGACATGTAGGAGTCGCCCAACATAATTGCATCCATTTGCTTAATAATATTTTGATTTTTCCTGTTGGGTTTTAGAGGGAATCTAGCACTACTGTTTTTTTTTTTCCAGGGGACTTAAGCAAATGGAAGGTTAAGGCCTGGTGGGAACCATCCCCAACTGCGCTAGAATTCTAAGAGACCTCACTGCTGTGCATGGACAAACTCCTGCGGACAAACTCCTGCAACAACTGGATGAATGCGACCCTTTAACTACTGGGATGAGCACCTACTTGTACTGGTGCGAAGGGGGCTCCGCCACGGGGACGGCGTGGTTGCTCCAAGCCCGAAAATGATGAGGATTGTTTTTTTTTTTTAGGGGTAGCTATTTGTTTGGTTATGCATAGGTTTTCCCTATACCCATTTTCCTCTCAGGTCGGGAATCCTACTTTGGATGGACGAAATCCTGCACCACCTAAGAAATGCAGGAATTGGTATTCCTGGAAATACCAACCAACAACGGTTTCCCATTGTTTCAACCTGGTGCAGGATCTCGCCCATCCGCAGCAGGGAAGCCTTCTGCTCTTACGCGAGGCACTTGAATTTTGCAACTGCAGCGGATCCACACGTCGCGATTCCGTACATTGGGCGCCGTCTATGGTCTCAGATACAATGACGCGACGCGTCTGCCCTAAAATATCGTGCTTCCCGCTGCGATTGTCGACGTGCCAGTTTGACAACAAATATGGGGGCATGCCGGAACCTGTTATGGGGGCCGTGTGAGACGACATGGCCTCACGACTCATCCGAGGATCAAAGCAGCCAATTGTTTTTTCCCCCTACTGGAGAGACAAAATCGGATGCGCCCTACTTTCGAGAAGGCTGCTGAGACTCCCAAAAATAGCTTAACGGGTATGTTTGGGGCAGGTTTGGACGGGTTTGGCATGGTTTGGAACGGGCGTTGGCATTAAGGGTTTGGCGCATCATCCACAGATTCCAGTGCCTTCCCGCGATGAACAGCTTGTGTGCAACTGAGCAGATTTTGCGTGTTTCCATGATGCTAGATGCTTGTGAGAAAGCTGCAGCGACCGCAGATGACGCAGAGAACATGGCCCCCCCAAACCCTGCTTTGGAGACCAGATGCAGAAGATGCCCACATGCATGTTCGTGCTCACACTTTGCATGAGCGATATGTGGACACAACTTTGCTGCCAGCAGATGAGTTGATGTGGCGACGCACCACTTTGGTGCGATCATCAAATCAATGGAGCCTTGTTGCGTTTTTTGAAGACATCACCCGCATGGATGACCGTGAAGCTGCCTTGGAAACCCAGAGACGGTTGAGCAGGTCCAGGTTTGTCCGGAAAGGTAGGAGAGTGGTTTGGGCCCTTGGTTGTCCCTATGTTGGACCCGCCGAAGGCCAGAGAGCTTGATGTGGAGTTGTTTCCAGCAACCCGGGTGATGTATCGTCAAGATTCAATTGCCTCGAATCCTTGGGGCAGAGACCTGCATTGAAAATAAGGAATCACATACCCGAAGAGATTGCTTTATTCAGAGACTTTTTGACGACCAACAAAATAAAACAAGCTTCCAGCAAACAGGTTCCGATCGCTTGCGGCCATCCGGAAGAATGGCGTGTTTTTCGTATTCGATTCGGAACCCATTAGGTGATCGAACCCAGGGGGTCAAATCCCGCCAGCTTGAGTGCCCAGAACTCGCAGGCGGCGACGACCTCATGTCGCGCATTTTTGCCGCGGAGGACACGGAGGACCGAGGTCGCCCATGTCCGATTGAGGTGGGTAAAGCCTTGCCCGGCCCAGTGATTCCGTGTGCCTCTAGCAGGCAACCAAGGAAACCACGATTTGAAAACTTGAAAACTGGAAGGAACATGCCTGGTTACCTACTTTATAGCCAACATCTACTTGGATGTTGAACGTAATTATGTTATGACTTCATGGAGTCATGAGTGACACAAACGTCAAGCCATTCACCACCAGCTGCCGCCGTTGCCGTTGTCGTTATGACGATCATTTGTCTTTTGTTCATCATCTTTCATGCACCATATATTGTCCATCATGCTCTTCCTTATCCTCCTCATCGTCGTCGTCCTCCTCATGATCCTTATAATGATGATTATTTTTCATCATCATCATCATCATCATCATCATAATCATCATCATCATCATCATCATCATCATCATCATCATCATCATCATCATCATCCCATCATCCCCATCATCCTCATCATCCTCATCATCCTCATCATCCTCATCATCCTCATCATCCTCATCATCCTCATCATCCTCATCATCCTCATCATCCTCATCATCCTCATCATCCTCATCATCCTCATCATCCTCATCATCCTCATCCTCTTCCTCACCATCTGCACCACTACCACCACCACCACCACCACCACCACCACCACCACCACCATCATCATCATCATCATCATCATCATCATCATCATCATCATCATCATCATCATCATCCTCCCCATCATCCTCATCTTCCTCATCATCCTCATCATTCTCACCATCACCATCACCACCATCACCATCACCACCACTACTACCACCATCACCATCACCGCCCCACCACCATCACCATCACCACTACCACCACCATCTCCATCACCACCAGTACCGCTACTACCACCACCACCATCATCATCATCACCATCAACATCACAGGACATTTTGCGCCGGAGTTTTTATGCTAACATGTTCCACCGCGCACAAGAGCCGTCATATTGCAGATCTTTGCAGTCTCTTCGAGAATTGTTTCTCGGCACCCTTCCACGTGTTGCCGGGCTGCTTCGGCGCATTGAGGTTTTTATTGGGTTCCATTTCTTTTCGAGCACTTTTGGGGACCATGTTTCGACCCTGCGGATTTTGAGCGTGTTGACGTCGGACGTCAAATGCCTTTCAACGATTAATCACAAGGATCCGGTTCAGATATGTCAAGAAGCGCCGATTTCTGTCCAATGAAAAACATCGAAGGGTTCCGAACACTTGATCCAAGTCCTACAGGCACAGCTGCGGGAATGGGTGGTTTTTGGTTGACTCCTGCGACGCGTCGATGGCTCATGTCAGTATCACAGAATTGTATCTGCAAAACCCTTGGCGGTTCTTCCAGCCGTTTCAGTGGGATTTATGACACATCAAATATCCCGCCCAAGCGTTCCTTGGGATCAACGATCCACCCCACCGCCCCAAGGACGCCGCGATTCCGGCCCCGAAGCCGAAGCCGAAGCCGGCGGAAGCGCCGAAGCCGGCGGAAGCGCCGAAGCCGGCGGAAGCGCCGAAGCCGGCGGAAGCGGTGCCGGTGAGGAGGCGCCTTGAGGGGAACCATGTTGGCCCCAGGAGTTCAGGGAGAAGTCTTTTTGGGGCCAATCATCATCCAAGTTTTGTTTTTTGTTAACGGGGTCTCCGAACCATTGTCCCTTGTTTGGCAACTCCAAAAGTGGCAGTTTGTTTTTCAATGGAACCACCGGCAAATTTGGCAACGGTTTGACAGGGAAATTCAGTGACCTCTGTTGAACCCATGGAAAGTCAGTGGCCAGGGTCATTTGTCCATGCCTGTTTTACGCGACCAGGGCCATTTGTCGCTTTTTAACTAGAGTGCAGATAACATCCAAGCGAGGCGTTGGCATGGGACTTGATCCAGACAATGCAGATGGTTTGGGCCGAATGAGCTGTTCCAAAGCCGAATGAGATCAATCAAGGCCAAGCAAGGCCAGGCAAGGCCAAGGCCAAGTAAGGCGTTTATGATTCTTTTTGGGGTGTCTTTGGAGGCCCGAGCGGCAAGCAGCAGGCGAATCCTGGATTTGCTGGTCGAATTTGTCCTGTCTTTTTTGAAGATGCGAGTGCCTTGGAGGACGTGTGTTCTCCAATGCGGCAGCTATGAAAAGTCCCAGGGTAATACAGCAAACACTTTTCCGGTCCCATTTCCTTGTTCACACATTATTCTGCCTGTTTTCAAATTCTTTGACCTTGTCTTTACACAATCTTGCACAATCCTCATGTAGCACCAACATCAAATCCGTTTGGCAACACCACCATCAAATCCGTTTTATTGCACAGATCCTTAGGTAACACCATCACCTTGTCTCCGGTTTTCCTCGTCTTCTTCTTTGGCCCTAGGGTTCCTGGCCCCCCGTTGACCCAATTGGATGATGACAATCTTTAGGTAAACAATGGTGATTCTGTCACTTCTATTTGCTGAAGAATATGTTCTATTGTCCCCTGTTGGATTTAAAGGGAATTTATCACTACTGCCAAAATATTTTGTATTTTTTCCAGGGGGCTTAAGCAAATGGATGTCTACCCCCGTTGTTCGAATGAGAACTTGAACCCCACAGCTACGAGTCCAATCTAGACTGTAGGTAAACAATGGTGGTTATATTGACCCCCCCATTCTTTTCATGTTATTTAACCCCCCACCCCCAATTGTTGTAATGGTGGTATCTACGCCTCGTTGGTCGGCGGCTTAAGCGCAGGCTGCAGCTGTCGCTTCAAGGGCTCCTGGGGCTGCGGGTTTGGGCGGCCGAACGCCCAGAGCGAAACGATCAGACAGTGCTCGACGACACCTTTTTGCTGGTGGAATTTCATGGGGGAAACTTTGGGAGGGACATTTTTGGTGGAGTTTAATGGGGAACTTTTGGAGGGACATTTGCTGGTGGAATTTCATGGGGGAATCTAAGGGCTGCCGCCCTGTGCCGGCGCCCCCGGCTTGCTTATAACAATTATGACTACGCGTTTTTTGTCGGGTTTAACGGCACACTTAAAGCATATATGAAAAAGAAGAGCACCACGATAATGATCATGCTCCTGATGATGCAAATTATTACCCAACATTAGGGATGCTGATATTTATTACTATGCATTCGCATTATCGCCAGCAGTCATGTTGATAACAGTTACTTTGCATTTTTTGCATCACCAGCAGTTGTTATGAGAATTATGACGATGCATGCCCTGCATCTCTCAAACAAGCTACTGCAGGATCAATTCACATGATAATGAGCACCTTGTTGGATTTTACAAGAAGTGCCCCCGGCGCGTGGAAACCTGGGCAGGCAAACCATGCTGGGGGCACTGTTTTTTGTTCACGAGACTTCGTCGTACTGCTGTGGATGCAAAGCGTGGACTTTGTGTCATCGCTTCGCCTTCGCGAGAAGCAAGCTGTTAGCACCCCGGATGCAATCAGATGGTGATGATGATGATGCACACCCGGCATGACTATGCATCCCCTGCATTTCCACTCGGGTCATGATGATGATGATAATGATGATGCTGATGATGCTGATGATGATGATGATGTCCCGATGACATCCCCAGCATCACCAGCAGTTATCATGACAATCATGACAACGCATCCTCTGCATGCACACTTGAAACGTATATGAAAAAGAGAGCGCCACGATAATGCTGATGATCATCACTGCATCCGCAGCGTCGCAAGCATTCATCATGGATGATAACCATCACTACGCATCCCCAGCATCACCCCCCAACCTGATGAAAATCATCGCTATGCATCCCCAGCATGAGCAGCAGTTATCAAAACAATCATGACTATGCATCACCTGCATTCCAAGTCGGGTCTAACGCACAATTGAAACGTATATGAAACAGAAGAACGATGTCACGAAGACAAGGACGAATACAAACCCTTCCCATGCGCCGGATATTCGTTGGTTGGATTCAATGGGGAAACCGTTTGTTTGATTGGTTGTAGTTTGGGGGTGCTGTTGTGTTGGTTGGTAAAGGGGAAACCTTCGGGGGATATCGGGAGAGATTTTGTCGGCCTTTGGAACCAGTTGTGATCCAAAGTTCCAATCGCCGCTTGGGAGTCTCAGCCCTAGGGTACAACAAGGATGACGACACCTTTTTTAGGTAAGTCGCTCCCCGAGTTCCTGAACTTAGTCACTTTTTGAGAAGACCATTTTAGTGGCACACAAAGAGTTCAGAGTTTTTCTGGCCAATCCAGGAAGCGAGGAATAAAACAAATATGGTGGTTATATGATCCCCCATTGATTGAACCCCAGCAGTCACGGGGATAGTCCAAGCATATTTTCCTGGAAAGACTGCAAACGGTCGGAGAAGACCTCTGTGTCTCTGAAGTCTTCAGAACCCCCTATATATATATATGGTGGTTTTCATTTTAAATTTGGGTTTTCCTTTTAACAAACAAAAAAGGGCTACCCTCGAAAAAACACTCGCAAAACTGCCAACTGGCACGGATTCCATTCCGCGGATTTCACAAGGAAGCTCTCCGCCAACCAACAGCGATGTTTACTCCTCGGCCGTGGATGGGGAGAGACAAATTCGGGCCCCACGAGACAGGTTCGATATACGAACCCTTCGGTCATGGGCCTTTCCTCGAGGCACATTTGGTCCAGTCGCCTGAGGTCATCGGAGATGAGGCGGAAGATATCATCGACCACCTCATGGCCCGGGGCTCCCAAACCCCGTCGCCTCGCGAAACTTTTCCGGGTGGGAAGAAACCCGCGGCGCTCGCGAAGCTTTTGTTTTTCCCCAGAGGAAGCAACAGGCAACCAAGCCGTGGTGGATATTTTGTGTTTTGTTTGTGTGGTTTGTACATCAGGGGGTCAGAAGTGTTTGAGCTGTTTGTGGGAGGTCTGGGTTAACCTTGTGCAGGAGATCGGTTTGGCACAGTAACATAGAGGAAAGAGAAGGGTGTCCTTGTCCCAAACGTTTTCGTGAGACATGTCGGATCACGGAACCCTCAACGGGCTCTGATCAATGAGTTCTAGCCATTTGTTAGCACCCATTTTGTGGCACCCAAGTCTTTGGGTTCTATGGGTAATCAGAGCGGTTCTTGTTTGCAACTTACTCACTCAATGAGTTCGTTATTCAGAGGATTTGCGGCCTTTCCCATGTTTTGTTGTTGGATTTCCACTAAAATGTCAAGGCACGATCAAGGGTTTGCGGCAGGGTCACTCGTTGCAATGGTTCTGATCTGCAAACGGGGCTCACCACAGTCGTTTGACCGGGATTGTTTGTTTTCAGGCACGGCAAATTAATGGCAGGAACCCCAAAACACCTCCCAAAAGATGACTCCTGTAAGCCCGATGGTTTCTTGAGTTCCATGTGATTCTGTAGGGGAGTACTTGTCTTGGTGGAATTGTTGCAAATGGGAAGTCACAGGAGACCCTGTTCTTGGTGAACTGGGACACGGATCGCAAGATTGACTGGGCATTGAGTTTGATCAATCTTGCGTTCCCAACAAAATCATTTTAGTTTAACCCCCTCACCTCCCAGAGAAAAAGTGGCATCCACCCTCCTTTTGCCGGCGTTGATGTCCATTGTGTTTGGAGTTGGGGTCCTTTTTCGGAGCCAAGCGAAGACCGTCCGCATTTAGGACTGCGGCAAGACGGTCTTCAGCGTGGGGGGTGAGGGCGCTCACTTCGCCTCCCTTGCCAGAGCCTTGGAGCCTGTCGCGGCGCGCGCATGAGCGGTTGTGGATGGGACGGGCGTGGCTCGTTTGGTGGTCAACCGCGTTTGGGATGGGAAATCAAACGCAAGACTGTGGTCCCCGGCCCCGAATGTGGAGACACGCCCATATTGGCCAATTTGAAGAACCACCTTCAGGGCTTCAAGGCAATGCCGGTGTTGACTTTGGGGCGTATATCCTGTTTGGGGACCCGATCTTTAAAGATGCTGTTGGGCTGTTCTGAAGGCAAACCAAAGGGGCTACCAAGCCCAATGTATTCCTCAGACAAGCCCTTGACGCATCTGGGGGCTCTCGGGGAGAGTCGGTCCATGGCACGTCAGTGGGGGTATATCCATTTGGAAACCAACGATTTCCTGAGTCCCGCATCTTCAGCGGTTCTCAAATTACTTTGGGGGGGCAGTTTCAATTGAAAACAACGATGAAGAGGGTGGGTTTGAGCATGTCACTTTACTGACCCGTCGATTTGATGTTCCAACTTGGCTTAGCTTGAAAAGTGGGTTGAACCGGACTTTGATAGCTTTTTACCTTTGGGCAAGCCCAATTCTCGTCAATCATGGCACGCGGCCAGTAGGCCAGTAAGATGCTCCTTGGTCCCTTCCCATTAGCCATGGTTTTAACCGTAGGTTGAGCATACGTGAAAACGAGAACTGGGCGTCGTGGATTCCGTTCGAGTGGGGTCCGTCTCTTCTTCCAGAGCTTGTCTTGCCGAACGGCCCTAAGATGGACCAAGGGATGAATACAGAGGACAGAAGATGGAGTCTCTCCGGAAGCACCTGAGCCACAATCAAAACCGGCCAAATAGCCACAATCAAATCCGGCTAGATGAAGGTTCGTAGGGGACAGTCCCAACCAGGTTTTGATTGTGACTCACCTTAGAATCACCCGAGCTTGCCTTAGAGTGACTGTGAATTGGCGAGATAAAGTGCCAACCTGACACGGGTTGAGGCACTCACTATGAACTGGGATGAACTGGGGTGACGTGCCAGATGACCGGCAGACTTTTCTCATTTCGCCATCCGACAGGACCTACCTCAATGCTGGACCGGGGCCAAACATATCAACATGGGCGTTCCCTCAAAGAAACCCTTTTCAGCACTGGTCTTTGGTGTGACCCCAAAGGCCCCTTCAGCACCAAACTTGGGACAACTCACTGGCTTTTCCCTGAAACCGACAGGTTGCACGCTTCGACCAGGCCTTTGGGGGTTCAAGGCCTCGGCTCGGGATCCAATTTGGTTATTCCCATTGGATGTAGATCTTGCACCTGAAGCTATTGCCAAATCCCCTGTTTAGCTGATTGGAAAGAGGGTACGTGTCTCACCAACTCAGATCTTTCCTCTCACCCAAGTGTCATAGGCTACCGTGCTCATAGTGCGGTAAGAAGTCCAACTTCAGAAATCAGAACGCATCCATGATGTTTTTTTCGGCCTCCGAGGCAGATCCCAGATTCCATGTTCCTTAATGATGCGGTTGGGTTTCTCAAATTCGTCCCTTTGGTTGGATCTCAAATATGCTGCTTCCCCCCAAGGGCTTAAACAGGAGAGAGGTTGTTCCCCCCCAGATGTGGACAGAGTTAGAAACATAGATGTCTGGGCCGGGGATGCAATATAGGCAGCCAACATGTGTATATATATATACACGTATACACATACCAATAGCTTACTACTTTCATCATTGCTAAGCATGTTTCTAAAGTACACCCCCATTCCAATTAGGCCCTTGTACTATTTCGGCAATGTGTTTCTCAAAATTGGGTACCGATTCCTACAGGTAGGTGGCTTTCTTTTGGCGTGCCTTTAAGACCATCCAGAAAGAGGACTATGAGACAGGCCGATGCATTTCGGCTTGCTTGTGGCAACTTCACCTCTTCGTGTTAGGCCGAGCTGGGCAGAGACGCGGCCTTGCCCAAAACGGAGGCACTTGCGCGTGACCGCCGGTGGGGTGTGGACATCTGGCTTCCCGTTCTTCGATACCAACAGCGCTGTTGAACATGAACAATGCTTGATGGATTCTCCGAATTTCTTTGGGGCATGGTTTCCCTCTAAGCCACAATTTGGAGGTAGCTTTGAGCACACCGTTTTAGCGGGATTCGATAATAAGGGATTTTCCTGTTCAGTGACAAACTCAAACTCGTCATATGGCGATCTTCAAGCCGCACTTGGACACGCTGCGAGCCGACCATGTTTGAAGCGGCAGAAAGATGATTCTCGTGCAGCGGATGCTGCGCGTTGCACAATTTGCCCGTCACGGTTTGCGAGTGGCTTTGAACATTCGGCCACGGAAGTTGATAAGGCGAGAAACTCCCTACTATGTTCAACCCAGCCTCAGGTGACCGAGCTCATGCTTCATCAGAGGATCCCTAAATAGGAGTGCCTTTTTTGAGGCTCGGTACCCATGTTTGGGACACTTTCTGGGTCCACACATGCGTACGGTCCACGAAGTTCCCTGACGGCCTCACATTGCTCCCACGCCAGCGCTGAGGCGCTGTTCAACCATGAAGCAGTGAGCGGACCCCCAAATTAGTGATTCTTCTTGGTTTCCCTTTCAAACGAGCCCCAAAATGGTAATTTCCGAGCCTCAAATACAACGACAGAAGATGCGACGGCTAACGGGGCACCTTTTGCAAGCGGCACCCTTGACGCTTGGTGCGAAGCACCTTTCGCAATGGTGGGCAAAAGTTCCATGTAAAAGAGGCCCCCAAAAAAGGTCTAAACATAGAATTTTCAACTGAAACACGTGGTTCTTACCGTCCCCACAACCCAAATTCTTCCGGAAGCTACAGCCGTGCATGGCGCGCCGTGCAAGCGGTTCGCTAGGTCTTGGCGTTCCTGGACAAGGCCCTCGCTAGGATTTACTGCTTGGTTGGAATTGTCTGAACCCATCTGTGAGGGGCCGCTGCCTCAATCATCCCTTCTTTGTGTTGCATCCCTGGCTTCGGTTTCTTTGGAGACCTATTGTGAATCTGGAGATGTCTTCCTCTGAACGGGACCGTCATATTGACAGTACATTAGAACGTCGTGGAAAAGCAAAACAAGCTTCCTTTCTTGTTGATGATGTTTTTACGCGTTGGTTTTGCTTTGTTTGGCACCTGCAAAATTCTGAGGCGCAAAGTTATCGGCCGTCGGTTCAAATTGCGTTCCCAATTTCAGTACTACCCCTTTGCATACTTGCATTTGCTTCAGAATATGTTGTGTTTTTCTCAGTTGGTTTAAAGGGACTCTACTTCTGCTGGACATATTTGTTTTGTTGTTCAAGGGGACTTATGCAAATGAATGCATACCTGGCTGAAAGGGGTTTTGGCAATGAAGGGAATGAAGTGCTTGGGATCCCTGAAAGGAAACCCCAGACATGGTTCACTTCGGAAGTTTTTTTCCGATTTCGAAGCTGGTTTTTTCAGCATTCCCTGGCCCCGTTTGTTCCTGAGTCTATTTCCCAGGTCTCAGTTGGTGCTAGAGATGGGCATCCACCCATCTAACCTCCAAACCACTCCACACGCAGTAGAAGACATATTATGTTGAAAGGTCAACACCCTGGAGGACCCTTTGATACACAAAAAAGTGCTCCGGACAGTTTTTGGCATTCGAGCGCTTTTCTGCTCAAATCCAAATCGAGCACCTGTTTGAGGTTGCCTAGCTGCTTTGGTGAAGTGCTCGAGAGAACGAACCCGCAGCTCGAGCGCAATTTCCCGCTACTCGGGCGCATTTTTCCGCAACTCGGGCGCCATTGCAAAAAGTGCGCAAAGCCAAAGCTCTGCCCCGCAATCCGTGTGTTTGCATGTGCTTGCATTTACCATTACTCGCGCACTTATTTGCCACGAAAGCTCGAGCAAACATTTGTGTATCAATGGGTCCTGCAGGACGGCCGGATTTCTTTGGGCGTCCTTTTCGATGGCAGGAAGGGACCCAAACAAATTGACCCTCGCCCGAAAACGGCTTCGCTGGCCTCAAGAAGGAGCCCCTACTGGCTTCCTCACATCCAAACCGATGTGGGGTTGTCTCACAGGGTCACCAGACCAACCCAACAAGGGAACCAACAATGGCTTTCCTAGCCCCAACTACGCGTCCACCTGAGACAACGTTTGAAAAACACCCGTGCGCTGGGGCCTGCCAACCTGCCGTGAGGCTTGAGCCGACCCCTTCTTTAAAGCAGGTTAAGACAGCTTGTCTTTGAAAAGGAATTCCGTTTGGTTTCCCCTAAAGGTTTGCCTTTTTACAGGCTCCTTTTCGCCAACCATGAACTGAGGCCAATGTTTTCCTCTACCCCAATGTGTTCTGTTTCCCAATGTAAGGGGCTGAATTGCAGATCGTTCTCTCCAATGACCCCCCCTCCTTTCATGTCACCGGACATCTTTCAGGTCGCAAAGGTGCCTGCCGTCAGTGGAAGGGAGCGTTTTTTTTTTTTTTGCCTCACGTTTGCCACCCGACCGAAGGAAACACATCCGTCGCGAGGACCCGGCCGCGGTGCTGGCCTGCATCGACGATGCCGTGAGGCGCGGGAGGGGGTTCGGTTGAATGGGACGGGCGGCGAAGGGGGGGGTGCATTGAATGCGAAGGAGATTTTCCTGCAAGGATGAGCTTTTCTTTGAGATCGGTTGTTGTTTGGGGGGGTGATGGAACGGGATATGGGCGTGTTGTTTTTTTGTGTGGGGGAGTTTCCCTTTTCGGTTGGTGTACAGGGAAACCAAAAGGAGACCACCTGTTTTGAGGGTTACCCTTTGAGACAGACCAAACTCATCAACGGCCACTTTTCTGGCCCAGTTGTCCAGTGGTATTTGATTCGCCTGTTTTTTTGGCAGGGTTCCCTTTAACAACCAAGCAAGCCATTGGAGACAACTTGTTTGTCCCATGGAAATTCACCCGTTATTCCTAGAGGCTGCAACAATTTCCCACCAAAGGTGGCCTGTTCCGAGGATGTACGATAGGCGTAGGAAGCAAATCAGGTAAGTTAATTCATGGTAAAATGTCGCTGACTTTGGCCAAGCTTCTTACTAAATAGGTTGTGTGTGTGTTCAAACAAGGTTGTAGGTCATCTCGCAGAGGTTCGGCAGACCATTGCAAGGATTCCCATGAAGGAAGCCACAACCATGGCCCAAATGAGTTTTGATGGCGCCGTACTTTCCTCCCCGCCTTGGTTTGGTTTCCTTCTCTCTCCCGTCAAGTCTTTGCCAGTCGGATGGGAGCAAGGGACCCGTGGACTTGTTTGCGTAAGCGCATCATTCCAAGTCCTCCCAGCTTGGGACCTTGCAAAACCTCCGTTAATCAAACAGGTCCGCCTTTTGCTCCTTTTCTGCCTCACTATTTTCGACGAGGGAGAGACTCGCTTGTTTTCCCTACAACAATTGGTCCGGGGACGTGCCTTCGGTTTCCCCCAAGCGTAGTTTTTTTATTTATTTATTTATTTAACGCGCCTTGGCATAAAATTAGGGCCCCGTTTTAACCTATGCTTTTTAGTGGCCGCAAAACGGGGCCCACTTTTTGAACCCCAACCCCCCCCCCCCCAGCATAAAAACAACAGACTCTCCGAAGACCCTCCAAACCGCTGGCGCCTTACATGGTTCGCTTCTCCAGGCTCGGGGTGCGCGGGCTGGTGCTGCACGAGGCACGGCTTGGGCTGTTGGTCCGGTTGGATACGAGAGTGCCACCCTCTGAATCAGTGAGGCTCCCACCCAGAACGGTTGTACCCCTCGCTTTCTTTGAGAGGGCGCGGCAGATTGTGGATTTGGAGCCCACTTGACAGCCGCGATAGCATGAAGTACAACTCGCTTTGGAAGGTGAAGCTCCAAACTTGGCCCCGGTAGCTGCTCACTTGAGATTGGGTGCAGGCAATGCTACCGACGTTGACTTCAAATCGGCGCCTGGGGCGGTGTTGAGTCCGCTCATGGCCCCACCCCCCAGACCTGAGCCAGCGAGACCGCGGGACTTCCCGCTGGCTGGAGGGCAGTGCCTCGCGCCCGCTGATGGCACGTTTCCTTTCCACGTGACCTACTAAGTAGATGGGACATCCCAAATGGCCCGTTGTGGTTTCCCCCTCTGGTGTGCTCGCCACTTCCAGATGCTGTAGCGGCAGCTCATTCATGTTTTTTGGCAATCGTTTGTCAGGCAAGGTTAGGGCTTTGGGAGATTCTTCTTCTTCTCGCCGATCAGCGGACTCTTGAACAGCAGCGTCGGTCCTCCATGGGATGTGGAGAGAAAATGCGATGATGTGAACCCGCCCGTCCTTGCCTTTCTCCTTGTTGTATCTAGGATGTGACTAAGTAGTGAGAGATGGAAGCATTACAGTAGATGAATTCTAGAGTTCGCCCGAAGGTAGTCTTGGCCATTGGTGTTCTTGATCCATATGACGCCTATGAACTATTCATCATTGCCTTGGTATCGCGTCCTGTCTTGTTCGCATGAATTGCTTGAACCAAGAAGCGATTTGTATTCATGTAATCGTGTCTGCAAGCTTATGTAGTATTGAGATGTCAAAATGGGTCGGAGACCACATATGTCTTAAGATTAGCATGGGTGCTCCTTCTGATTTAAAGGGATCTCTTCAGGGCTGTTAGGCTGATTGAGACCGTGGCCCGGAGTTTGTGCGAACAGACGAGTTCCATTCATTAGTTCCCCCCGAAGGGAAGATACCGAAAGAGAAGGAATGGCAAAGGCCACCGACTCATAGGTTGGGGTCTAGTGGCCGCCCGACGCCTGGGGGGGGGCCGTTCGGGGCATGTGATGACATGTATTGTTTCGGATTGCGTGTTTGTTTGGGGGCAGGAGGTATGATGCTTTGGGTGGGTGAGCCACAGAGGATTGCGAGAACGATTTCTGGCTTCGGTACAGTTGTTTTATCAAACATATGGCCTGGGCCTTTTCACAAGCGACACCAAAGAGAGCCCGCTGATTTCGGGGATGTGACTTTTTGGGTTTGATACCTTCAAATGGAGCTGGTTGAGTTGTCCCAAAGGACGATGGGCACGATTTCAGGGGTTGCGGGAGACCGCTGAGACACGGTCCTAGACTACCAGCGTCAAAGCGAGCGGAGAAAATACGAGGGTTCCAAGGTCTGGCTGCGTTGCGGGTTGCACCCCTTGCAGGTGTCTCAAGTCGATCGCTTTGGCTTCAGCTGAAGAATCGCAAAATGCCAAGGAGGGCCCTCACAGAAAAACGGAAGACCCGTGAAGGATCTTTTCTGTGTGTCCAAGGATTTGAAACCTTGCAAATAGTCGGGGTCCCTTCAGAAGCCGCTCAAAAAAGGCCCCCCCAATTCTCATGTTGTTGTGTCTCAAGTTCGTGTTTGGCTACTTAATTGCACCCAAAAGAACCTGCGGAATCTTCCGGGATGAAGGTGGATGTTCACTTGCCCAGTGGAAATGCTTGCTCCGTAGAAGTCTCGCCAGAGACGCTCATCAGCGAGCTGAAGGTTGCAGCGCAGCAGCACTTCCAGCGCCGCTTGAAGCCAGCTGCGAAAGGCCGGCAGCTTGATTTGAAGGCTACACTGAGTGAGGCTGGTTTGCGAGATGGGGATGTAGTGGCTGCAGTTGCGCAGCTTGGCAAACTGGCTGCTGCACGCATGGCATTTGCTTGGCATGGTCACGGGGGCGAGGTTGTGACGTGGGGTGATCACATGGCGGAGACAGCAGCCAGGTGCGAGAGCAGCTAAGGAACGCCCTGCATATCCAAGCAATTGCGAATGAGGCTTTTGCTGCCATTCTAGAATCTGGGCATGTTGTGACCTGGGGTGATCCTGACTGGGGCGGAGACAGCGGCCAGGTGCAAGAGCAGCTGAGGAACGTCCGGAGCATCCAAGCAACTGATTGTGCTTTTGCTGCGATTCTTGAATCCGGGGCTGTCGTGACCTGGGCTGATCCTGACCGTGGCGGAGACAGCAGCCAGGTGCAGGAGCTTCTGAGCAACGTTCAGAACGTCCAAGCTACTTTCGGTGCTTTTGCTGCCATTCTTGAATCTGGGGCTGTTGTGACCTGGGGTCATCCAGAGTTTGGCAGAGACAGCAGCCAGGTGCAAGAGCGGCTGAGGAACGTCCAGCAAATTCAATTAACTGTTGGCGTTTGTGCAGCCATCCTTCAATCTGGGGCTGTTGTGACCTGGGGTGATCCTGACAGTGGCGGAGACAGCAGCCAGGTGCAAGAGCAGCTGAGGAACATCCGTAGCATGCAAGAAACTGGCGGTGCTTTTGCTGCGATTCTTGCATCTGGGGCTGTTGTGAGTTGGGGTGATCCCGACCAGGGCGGAGACAGCAGCCAAGTACAAGTGCAGCTGAGGAACATCAGGAGCATCCAAGCAACTGGAGGTGCTTTTGCTGCCATTCTTGAATCTGGGGCTGTTGTGACCTGGCCTGATCCTGACCGTGGCGGAGACAGCAGCCAGGTGCAGGAGCTGCTGAGGAACGTCCAGCACATCCAAGCAACTGCCGGCGCTTTTGCTGCCATTCTTGAATCGGGGGCTGTTGTGGCTTGGGGTGATCCAGACTGCGGCGGAGACAGCAGCCAGGTGCAAGAGCAGCTGAGCTTGTAATCTGAGGCTATCATAACATGGACGGCGCAAATCTGGGTTGCCAAAAGTGTGCTGAAAGAAGGAACGCCAGTTTTATTATTATTATCATTACTATTAAAAAGGGTACCCTTATGGTTGTTTTAATGGGGAACCACAGCGAACCCACCAATTTGGGGGCCCCTATTTGGAGACAAAGCTAGGTGAACTTAACATTCGGCATTAATTGCTTAGAGTTAGGGCCTGTGACAGGGCCACCATGCAACGATTCGCACAAGCTTGTGAGCAGTGAGTAACTGTCAATCAGCCATTGTCAAGAGGGTGACATGACGTGGTGTTTTTTGTGAGGGTAAGGTGCCGGAAGGGCGGGAGTGGAGCCTGCGGCTTAGTCCGTTCCCCCTAATAATCAACGCGGAGCCCCCCCTCCTGATAATAAAGACTTTCTGGGGGACAACACATTTTTTTTTTATAGGGTCCTGTGGGGTCGACCGGATTTCCTCTTCGGTCCTCGTCCAAATTTGCTCCTTCCTTCCCAGAGACAAAACACCTGAAAAGCGCAATGTTTCGAGTATCGAATTTAAACGAAACCGTTCAAGGTTGTTTTTGTTGTTTTGCGGTTCAAAAGTAAAGAGCGCAGTTCAAGCTTAGAATTACAATTCAAGAAATGAATGTAAAATAGTAAAAAGTAAGCATGCATTTAGACTTTGGTATTGGGTTGGAGCAAGGAGCTGGTCTGGGCGGAGACATCGGACAATTTAGTATTGGTTTTTAATTGCTCGATTCTAAACGTAGTACTGGGCACCCGGCTGTTTCAGCCAGTCTGGAAAAAATAGTATCTATTAGTAGCGGCCATTTATGAAAAGGGGGAAGGGATTAATTTGATTCACGACGCGGTACCTGGCCGTTCTTTGGTGGAGTGATTTGTTTGGTTAGTTCCGTTAACGAACGAAACCTTAAGCTGCTAAATAGCTATATGTATCCTGAACTACATGGGCAACGTTTTGACTTTGTGTCCAAGGCAAGGCCTTGAGTCACTAGGTCTGTTCCTTTAGCCCCCTTTGCACCACACTCGAACAAGGCCTTGGCTGGGCGAGAACGAAACTGCATCGTGATGGGGATAGATTATTGCATTTTGAACGAGGAATTCCGAGAAAGCGCGAGTCAGCTCGTGCCAGACATGTGGGGCCCTCATTGCTTTAGATCTTTCTTTGGGAACCAAGTCTTTTTTTCTGTTTCCGCCAAGCAACCTTGTCTGTGTTCGAAACACCCCTTTTCATTTCGGGGGTACGGAATTCTTTCGGACAAACCGTTCTGTGCTGCCTGTTGAATGATCAGGCCCCGACAAGGCAAGATTACAGCATTGGTTGGGCGTAAAATTGCTGCGCTCCGCCTGTTTAGCCTGTGAGGTTTCAAAAGCAACACCAAAGAGAACCCGCTGATTTCGGGGATGTGACTTTTTGGATTTGATACCTTCAAATGGAGCTGGTTGAGTTGTCCAAAAGGACGCTGGGCACGATTTCAGGGGTTTCGGGAGACCGCTGAGACACGGTCCTAGACTACCAGCGTCAAAGCGAACAGAGAAAATAAGAGGGTTCCAAGGTTTGGCTTCATTGCGGGTTGCACCCCTTGCATGTGTCTCAAGTCGATCGCTTTGGCGCAAAATGCCAAGGAGGGCCCTCACAGAAAAACGGAAGACCCATGAAGGATCTTTTCTGTGTGTCCAAGGATTTGAAACCTTGCAAATAGTCGGGGTCCCTTCAGAAGCCGCTCAAAAAAGGCCCCCCCAATTCTCATGTTGTTGTGTCTCAAGTTCGTGTTTGGCTACTTAATTGCACCCAAAAGAACCTGCGGAATCTTCCGGGATGAAGGTGGATGTTCACTTGCCCAGTGGAAATGCTTGCTCCGTAGAAGTCTCGCCAGAGACGCTCATCAGCGAGCTGAAGGTTGCAGCGCAGCAGCACTTCCAGCGCCGCTTGAAGCTTACTGCCAATGGCCGGCAGCTTGATTTGAAGGCTACACTGAGTGAGGCTGGTTTGCGAGATGGGGATGTAGTGGCTGCAGTTGCGCAGCTTGGCAAACTGGCTGCCGCACGCATGGCATTTGCTTGGCATGGTCACGGGGGCGAGGTTGTGACGTGGGGTGATCCAAAACATGGCGGAGACAGCAGCCAGGTGCAAGAGCAGCTAGGGAACGCCGAGCATATCCAAGCCACTGCGAAAGGTGCTTTTGCTGCCATTCTTGAATCTGGGCATGTTGTGACCTGGGGTGATCCTGACTGGGGCGGAGACAGCGGCCAGGTGCAAGAGCAGCTGAGGAACGTCCGGAGCATCCAAGCAACTGGAGGTGCTTTTGCTGCCATTCTTGAATCTGGGGCTGTTGTGACCTGGGGTCATCCAGACTGGGGCGCAGACAGTGGCCAGGTGCAAGAGAAGTTGAGGAACGTCCGGAGCATCCAAGCGACTGCCGGTGCTTTCGCTGCTATTCTTGAATCTGGGGCAATTGCGAGCTGGGGTTACTCACACCTAGGCGCAGACAGCAGCAAGGTACAAGAGCAGCTGCGGAACGTCCAGCACATCCAAGCAAGTGGTTTTGGTGCTTTTGCCGCCATTGTGGAATCTGGGGCTGTTGTGACCTGGGGTGATCCGGAATATGGCGGAGACAGCAGCAAGGTGCAAGAGCAGCTGAGGAACGTCCAGCGCATCCAATCATGTTATGGTGCCTTTGCCGCCATTCTTGAATCTGGGGCTGTTGTGACCTGGGGTGATCCCGACCAGGGCGGAGACAGCAGCCAAGTACAAGAGCAGCTGCGCAATGTCCAACAAATCCAAGCAACTGGCAATGCTTTTGCTGCCATTCTTGAATCCGGGGCTGTTGTGACCTGGGGTGATCCCGACAAGGGTGGAGACAGCAGCCAGGTGCAAGAGCAGCTAAGGAAAGTCCAACAAATCCAAGCAACTGCCGGCGCTTTTGCTGCCATTCTCGAATCCGGGGCTGTTGTGACCTGGGGTGATCCAGAAGATGGCGGAGACTGCAACCAGGTGCAAGAGCAGCTGAGTAAGGTCCAGCACATCCAAGCGACTGCCGGCGCTTTTGCTGCCATTCTTGAATCTGGGGCTGTTGTGACCTGGGGTGATCCGGAATATGGCGGAGACAGCAACGAGCTGCAAGAGCAGCTGAGGAACGTCCAGCACATCCAAGTAACTTCCTGCGCTTTTGCTGCCATTCTCGAATCCGGGGCTGTTGTGACCTGGGGTGATCCAGACTTTGGCGGCGAGAGCAGCCAGGTGCAAGAGCAGCTGAGCTTGTAATCGGCGCAAATTTGGGTTGCCAGAGCATCTGCGTTTCCAAAAGCGTGGTGAAAGAACGGAACGCCAGGGTTTGTCTTTTTTTGAGGGTAGTTTTATGGGGGAACCAAAGGGGACCCACCCATCCGGGGGCTCCTATTTTGAGACACCAGGTGAATCACATTGCTTAGAGTTAGGGCCTGTGATAAAGCCAGCCTGATGCAATGATTCGCGCAAGAAGGTGAGCAGTGAGTGAGTGTGGTGACATGACGTGGTGTTTTTGGAGGGTAAAGGTGACGGAAGGGCGGGAGTGGAGGCGGCTCAACTTGACGGGGGAAACTTACCAGGTCCAGACATTCAGACATAAGGATTAGCACGGTGGCTCTTTTTGGTGCTTGGCCGTTCTTTGGTGGAGTGATTTGTTTGGTTAGTTCCGTGAATGAACGAGACAATAGCCCGCTAAATAGCTACATGTAACCTCAACTACATGGGCAACGTCTTGACTTTGTGTGTCTAACGCAAGGCAGTGTGAGGCAGGTCTGTGATGCTTTCAAATGCCCTTGGCTGCACCGCACTGATGCGCTTAACGACTTGTTGATCTTGGGTCAATTGGCTGGGCAATCTTTTCAAACTGCATCGTGATGCAATTGGATCTTCAACGGGGCATTCCTAGAAAGCGCGAGTCATCAGCTCGTGCTGATTACGTCCTTGCCGCAAACTTTATCAAGAAATGGGGCCTGAATTGCTTCGGGTCTTTCTGTGGCAATCAGTTGTGTTGTTTCCAACTTTTCTGTTTTGGACAGGGTACTGAATCCTTTTGGACCAACAGTTCTGTGTTTGGTACCCTTTGATTGATCGGGCCCCGACATGAAGGCTAAAAAGAGCAATCTCTGAAAAGAACGCCCTCGGAATTCCAAAGGTGCTTACAGCATTTGTTGGGCGTGCGATAGCTTCGTTCAGCCTGTTCAGCCTGCGAGTTTTCCTCGAATTTTGGTGGGTGAGACTTGCTGATAAATTGTTGAAAGAGAGCTTGAACTGACTTCAAACATTCAGGTGTTTCCTCCACACATGGGAGCCACATTCCCCAAAAAATCTAGCCTGGGCAAACATCTGGCCTGGGGGTTTCCATAGCGACACAAAAGAGGACTCGCTTAATTTTGGGATGGGACTTTTTGGAGGGGGTTCAAATGGAGCTGGGCTTCCCTTGCATATGTCTCAAGATCTCGCTTTGGCTTCAGCTGAAGAATCGCAAAGTGCCAAGGAGGGCCCTCACAGGGGGACGGAAGACCCATGAAGGATCTTTTCTGTGTGTCCATGGATTTGAAACCCTGCAAATAGTTGGGGGTCCCTTCAGAAGCCATTCAAAAAGGGCCCCCGAATTGTCATGGTAATGTGTCTCAAGTTCGTGTTTGGCTACTTAATTGCACCCAAAAGAACCTGCGGGACCTTCCGGGATGAAGGTGGATGTTCACTTGGTCAGTGGAGATGCTTGCTCCGTAGAAGTCTCGCCAGAGACGCTCATCAGCGAGGCGCAGCAGCACTTCCAGCGCCGCTTGAAGCTCACTGCGAAAGGCCCGCAACTCGATTTGAAGGCGACGCTGAGTGAGGCTGGCTTGCGAGATGGGGACTTAGTGGCTGCAGTTGCGCAGCTTGGCAAACTGGCTGCCACTCATAGTGCATTTGCTTGGCATGGTCACGGGGGCGAGGTTGTGACGTGGGGTGATCACATGGCGGAGACAGCAGCCAGGTGCGAGAGCAGCCAAGGAACGCCCTGCATATCCAAGCAACTGCGAATGAGGATTTTGCTGCCATTCTTGAATCTGGGCATGTTGTGACCTGGAGTGATCCAGCAGCCAATCATGTTATGGTGACTTTGCTGCCATTCTTGAATCTGGGGCTGTTGTGACCTGGGGTGATCCAGAACATGGCGGAGGCCAGGTGCAAGAGCAGCTGGGGAAGGTCCTGCACATCCAAGCGACTGCCGGCGCTTTTGCTGCTATTCTCGAATCCGGGGCTGTCGTGACCTGGGGAGATCCACACTGCGGCGGAGAGAGCAGCTAGGTACAACAGCAGCTGAGGAACGTCCAGCACATCCAAGCAAGTGCTTTCGGCGCTTTTGCTGCCATTCTCGAATCCGGGGCTGTTGTGACCTGGGGTGATCCAGACTTTGGCAGAGACAGCAGCCAGGCACAAGAGCAGCCGAGCTTGTAATCTGCGGCTATTGTAACAGGGACGGTGCAAATCTGGGTTGCCAGAGCATCTGCGTTTCCAAAAGCGTGGTGAAAGAACGGAACGCCAGGGTTTGTCTTTTTTTAGGGGTTATTTTATGGAGGAACCAAAGGGACCCCACCCATTTGGGAGCCCCTATTTTGAGACAGTAGGTGAACTTCACATTGCTTAGAGTTAGGGCCTGTGATAAGGCCAGCCCGATGCAACGATTCGCACAAGCAGGTGAGCAGTGAGCAACTGTCAGCCAGCCCTTTTCAAGAGGGTGACAGGGTGACATGACGTGGTGTTTTTGGAGGGTAAAGGTGACGGAAGGGCGGGAGTGGAGGCGGCATGACTTGACTGGGGAAACCTACCAGGTCCAGACATTCAGACACAAGGAATAGTACGGTGGCTCTTTTTTGGTCCTATGGCCGGCGCTTGGCCGTTCTTTGGTGGAGTGATTTGTTTGGTTAGTTCCGTCAATGAACAAGACCTCAGCCTGCTAAATAGGTACATGTAGCCTCAACTACATGGGCAACTTCTTGACTTTGTGTGTCTAACGCAAGGCAGTTTGAGGCAGTAGGTCTGTGATGATGCCTTCAGATGCCCTTGGCTGTGCCGCACTGATGCGCTCAACAACTTGTTGACCTTGGGTCAATTGGCTGGGCAATCTTTTCAAACTGCATCGTGAGGGGGATAGGTCATTGCCATTCCTAGTAATCGCGAGTCATCAGCTCGTGCTGATTACGTCCTTGTCACAAACTTTATCAAGAAAGGGGGCCTGAATTGCTTCGGGTCTTTCTGTGGCAATCATTTTTTGTAGTTTCCGCCTACAAACAACTTTTCTGTTTTGGGCAGGGTACTGAAGTCTTTTGGACCAGCAGTTCTATGCTTGGCACCCTTTGATTGATCGGGCCCCGACATGAAGGCTAAAAAGCGCAATCTCCGGAAAGAACGCACTCGGAATTCAAAAGATGTTTTTTGCATTTGTTAGGCTTGAATTCGCTTCGTGCAGCTTGTTTAGCCTGTGTTGAGGTTTCCTTGATTTTTGGTGAGTGAACCTTGCTGATCAATTGTTCAAAGAGACAGCCTGAACTGACTTCAAGCAAAGTCCTTGCAGCATTCAGGTATTTTCTGCGCGCATGGTAGCCGCTTTGGGGGTTGGATATCATGAAATGGCTGACACGGACTGTTCAACCCAGGTGTCTATGATGTCTTGAAATGGTTAGAACACCCTCAAAGATTTCTGGGTTCAGTATAGTTTATTTATCATTGGAAAAGCTTTGGTTCGGCCCGCAGGGCTCCTCGGATGTCTTGGCAGAGTGCCGCAGCGCAGGCCCCGATTCGCGGTGCCCCGCGTTGCGAGAACGGGGCTGTGGTTCAACCTACACAGAGGTATCCCATGATTTTGGGCTCCACTCACTCCAATTGGGCTGGGGGGGGGGATGGGGTCTTGAGCAATGTGGCGGAACTGCCAAAGAAAGGTCGCCCATTTGTTCCTTGGCCACTGGCAGTCCGGGCCGCAGTTTAAGTTGGGCCGGTTGAACGGTTTCAACATGGTTGCCGCCTACTCACCTCCCCGACAGAAAGCAACTCTCGAAGAAAATCAGTTGATCATTTGGGGGCCGTTCAGCCAAGGAAATCGATTTTCACAGATCCTCGCGCAAGAGCTGCTTCCGACTTCGGAGCCCATGGGTTGGAACTCATGGGTAGTGTGTTCTGGCTTCGGTTCCGCGGATGGAGTCTGCTCCAAGATGTTTCAGGCTGAATAAATTGGCGCAGACTGAAACAGATAGACAACATAACAAAATCAACGAAACAACAACAGTGCTTTGGGGTTCCCCAAAGTTGGACGGATTGGGCATTGGGTGCTCCCAAATGAGAATTTGGCAGCGTGCGATCCAGGGTGGGACAAAGTATGGTTTAACAAGCAGCATTTGGTGCCCTTTAAAGGCACGCCAAGAGGTGGTTGTTTAAACAATGGTGGTTTAAGCAGGTTTTAAGTTGGCTTCCATTTGATTGGATCTTTGGACTTGTTCTTCTTCTTTTTCGGGGGGGGGGGGGGCGGTTTCTGTGTTTTGCAGACCATTGACCTTCAGGCAACTTGTATCACATCAGGTTCTTGCCAGAAACAGATCCAGGGCCGCAGAGGCTACCACAGTGGGTATCTTCTCCTCAGGGATTAGTTGCCCCCGGCACGGGACTCAATTGTGGTAGCGGAGCGTGTTTTTCAGACAAGAATCATTTGGATGTCATTAGATGGAGCAAGCTTCCTGGAGGCCTATACCAGTGCACGCCGACTCAAGAGACACTAAATGTGTCGACGATCGCCACGCAACCGCCATGGTGTGATGGAAAAGTCAGACAAGGAGTCAACTAGATCAAGAACACGCTGAAGCAGTGCTTCCTTGAAAGGTACGACCAACGTGTATCGCATCGACTCCTCAGTTTCTTCAAAAACAGGAGACACGACTCAGAGTTTCTCATTTTCATGTCCAAGTTTGAGTTCTTGCCACGCAGCCTAAAAGCAGCGTGGAATGATCAGATGCCCGTCATCACGGCGCAATCACGGATTATCTCCAACCAGTGCAAGATGCTAACCTGGGAAGAGCCGCAACGACTCACGCTGGAGCGACGCCCGTGCAACTCCTGAACCCGGACGACCCGGAGACTTTGAGACAGTGTGTCAACGGGAAGCAGACACCCACTCAATGACTCAGATCGGCAGAGAGAGAGAGAGAGATACTGATCAGGCAATGTCTTTGAGGAACATCCAGTTGGAACATGTTACACGTACGAAGTGCTGAAAACACAGTATCACGACCTCTTCAACACTACCAGAACTTCGATCCAAGATCCAGGACTTGGCCGCCAGGAGGTTCACGACAGAACAACTTCTACATTCTCGAGCAAGGAGAATATGAAGGAGAAAAAGGTTTTTGGGTTGAAGATGAGGATGGAAATGAAGATTTCATGGGAACCGAAGATGAGGAGACATTCTGGGTCCTCGAAGATCCTGTTAAAAAGTGCAATTGCGGACGAGGTGGTTTCAATCCCTTCAAAAGGAGCAACGAAAATGGCAAAGCCCACCTGGCCAAGGAACATATTCAGGATCCCCACGACCAGGCATATTGGGGAGAAGGCCAAGGAAAGAAAAGCAAGAAATGACACGGAAACAAACGTTTTCCATCCTACCACGACGGAAGCCAAAAATGCGGGAAAGACAAAGGGCTGACCGAACCAGACCGTCTCGTGACAGAGTCCGGCCCAGCAAACAAGTGGGAAACAAGTGGGGAGACAAAGAGCTAGCTAAGCCAGACCATCTTGTCGCAGCATCCAGCCCAACAAGCGCGTGAGGAAACAAGAGGGGAGACAACTGGAAACCAGTGAGGAGACAGACGGCTGACCGAGCCAGACCATCTCATGACAGCATCCGGCCTAGCAGGTGCGTGAGAAAACAAGCGGGCAGAGCCCGGGGAGCTTGAAACCTGGCCTCTCATTGTGGAGTCTCTCATCAGAGCTTCGCCGATAAGAAGAGTGTGGACCACCTGCGCAAGCGCATGACAGACGATGACAGAGCGCTTCTAGTTTCGCACTCTGCGCGCCTAGAACCATTAAAGGCTTCCGCGGCATGAGCCCTCATCGAGAACAAGAGGAAAAAAAGCCACGGCGACAGAGACAAATCCTTGGCGCAAAGCGCCTAGAGTGCAAATCATGGCTTGACAGTGAGGTGTTTGATCTTGTTGCCACCAGAAAGATCAAGGTCAAGAACTGGGTTACCAATCATTGGGTCCTCACCCTGAAGAGAGATAAGGATGGCAACTTCCTCAAGACCAATGCTCGCCGGGTGCCGAGAGCTTTCCAGGACAAACAAAAGGACGATCAGCGAACTGAAAGTCCAGCAGCTTCAAGAAGTGGTTTTCGATTAGCAACACAAGCAGCTGCGAACACGGGCTCACATGGATCTGAAAACAGCCTTCCTCCAAAATGCCCTCTCAGACTCCTCCTGAGATGGTATACCCATCACGCTTTGGCGCGCGGATTAAGAAGCCTGCCAACCCGCAAAATGACGCACCTCACAGACAATGGAATATCTTGGACTTGGCCGGGCCTGTGCCAGCAAGAGCTACGTATGTATAGTGCTATCGTAAGACTCTTCAATCAGTGAAAAGAGGCCATCAAACATATTTGATCTTGAAGAAGCCGCTGATTATCTTATGGGTCCTGCTTCTGGAAGCAACAAGTTCATGGAGCTCTTTCATCATGTTGATGATCTTCTTGTGGTTGTCGGCGATGTGACCAAGAAGGAAACCATGGGCCGACTACGAAAGAACTTCCAAGTTGGTTCAGAAGACAAGAATGATTGCCTTTTCGTAGGTCAACGCATCCAGTGGAAAAAGGATGAGAAGCACCGTTGGTGCATCAATGTCCTGCCATAGATGAACTTCAGGCGATCTCCTTTGACAAGAACCTGAAGGATGACGGAAAGTCCAAGATATTCGGCGCCTTTTTCGAGGAGGAACCCGGCTGCTGACCTCTCAGAGCCTTCATATGCCGGGTCGAGTGATCAGGATCCGAATTGGAGTGAAAGTGGCTGACACTCGGGTTGTGGACACGCAATGATGCATGTTCAACATCAGGACAATGAAGCCACTGACGTTTCTGCGCACAACTCAGCAACGACCAATCGCTGCCATCAACAAAGCTATCGGCGCCAGACATTGAAAAAACGCACGATAAACCGACTTTTGCACCCCTTGACAACGGATGCGCCAGGTCAAAAATGGGAAGCTGGCATACATCGAAACGAAGAACCTCATTTCCTATGGCAGACACTAAGTTCACCTTTGCCAATGGAGAATCAGCTAGGGTCAGCTGGGCCAAGGCAGCGTACCGAAACGCCTCAGTATTTGGTCAAACGCTTGTACATCACCATTGAGCGGACTCCGCAGTGCGTGCGTGAGAAAACAAGTGGGGAGATAAAGAGCTAACCGAGCCAAAACGAGCCAGACCATCTCGTGACAGCATCCAGCCCAGCAAAAGCAAGCGGGGAGACTTCCTGAACGCCGCAGATGCGCAGCGCCTACAGAAGCGGATTAGGTCAGATAAGTTGTTTGCAATCGCGATGTCTGTTCCACATTGGTTATCAGTTCCCTCGTGCGCATCAAGAGCAGTGTCACCGACCATTGCGGACGTTCGCGCCATCAGTAAGACTGTCAGAACCATCAGGAGTATTCCACTCAGTATGCGTTTCTGGCCACTTCACGGAAACAACGAGAACTGTTGGCCTGACGTCCTATTGCAACAAGGAGGGTAAGTCGTTCATCGAACTCAAGAGGCTCTTTGGTCGACTATGAGACACATAAGATCACAGCAACCGCAATGTCAACAGCCGTTGCTGCGCTTCGCAGACTATTGAGGTGCTATGGTCCATCTCTGTTCTTCGTGGTCCTGGTTAGGTATTACAGGTCAAATTGCAGATGTACACGTCAGAACTGTCAGAACTTGATTTAAATGTTGCAGAAGGAAAGGAGCAGCCGGCAGATGCACAACCTTGCACATGTACGAACCGAAGATTACCCTGCTGACTCCTTTTCAAAGCACCGAGCGAAAGCAAATGAGTTGATCAAGGCAGTTCTCACTGGCAACCTTTTGAAGGTTGATGCGCGACCACCTTTCCGCACACTGTTGCAGAATAATAAAGCATGTCTTGCGGAATGGCGTGCGCGCAAGACAGCGCATGGTCCTGACATCATTGCCTTTCCAGGTGTTGGACTATCAGGACACATGTTTACATATTGGGGCACCTGCGCATGATTGTATCATGCCGCCAAATTCACATCATGAGAGTATATTCCTTGAGTTTGATGAGAAGGACGACTTCAGGGGCAACATTTCAGGGTCAAAGGTTATCCACGCATGGATGAGTTCGATGAGATTCCAACTGCGATATCAACTTCATCGCCTACAATATATTTACTGAAGCGAGTGAGGCGATAGTTTCACAAGGACACGTCAGTCCTTACCTTTTTCAAGCCAATGCATCTTCGAGTCAAAGAAGATGCATTTGACATAATTAGATTCCATCTTTTGCTTGCCATTTCCCGTGCGCGAATTAGAATGCAGTTGCGCATAGTCTGTACAAACCATGCAGATACCAGACAAATCCGACATGTCCAAGCCATAAAGAAAGTGACCCGTTTGGTATGTTCGAAATCGAGCTAAGTATTTTTCAATGGCTACGGCGCGTTTAAAATATCGCTACGGCGCAGAGCCCTTGAGACTATAATTCGATGCTACACAGTTGCTTGGCCACACCGGTGCAATCCCATCCAGCAGTTTGGCTCCATCGAGGTGAATCTTGATGATCAAGGAAGGCTGCCACCAAGGCTTTGTTGCGTTTTTGGTGGTTGAGGCCACCATTTTCTGGTTGGTTCAAAAGTCAACCTAAAGGGATACCCCACCAATCTAAGACATACCAAAACGAAAATAGGGCACATGGCAACTCTACACTGGTCAGCGCTCATTTGATCTCTTCTCTTCAGATCATCGGTCGTTGGCAGGGGTGGTTTTAAAAGGAACTATTTTAAGGTGGGTTCCGTATCGCACAAACCCATTGAGCACCCCAAACCCCATGGCCCCACCCTAAAACCCTACACCTTGCAGTTCCCCGCTTTCCACTTTGCCGCTTCTCCAAATAGGCGCTCCGCCCACTGGATGCCCGTACAGCTCGCAGGCCTGGCGGCGCACTGCGCGGATCTCCTGGAACAAGTCCAGCCAGGTCTCGGGGATCACGGGGCGGTTTTGTTCTGAGGCGACTGGTTGCTTTTTAGTTTCCCTCAAAGAGAGCGGTGGTTTGTTCGGTGGCGGAGTCCCATGCACCTTCTACAAAAACGAGGGGTTCAAATCCCAAGCCACCAATCCAAACCACTACAAGGATTTTGACCTTGCGCAGGTTGGAAACGAATAACTTAATTCTTAAATTCGGCTTGCCCAATTTGAAACCGTGTCCGGTTGTGAAACGTCAATATGGATGGACGAATTCCTGCACCAGCGGGGGCGTGGTTTCGCCCAGCCCAGTATTCATCTTTGATTCATTCCAACTGGTGCAGGGTTTTGTCCACAGTGTAGTGAGCCTTGTTTGAAGGAGGTGACTCTTCAAAATTGGGGGTCGCAGCAGGTTTCCCTTTCAGTTTCCTTCTAAGGCCATCCCAAAAAGGTTCCGAATTTGGTAGGGGCCTCTCTTATTGTGGACCCCTTGCGCGACTCGTCTTCTTCAGGTATCTTTTGGGTGGTTTGGGTTTGGATTTGACCCGTTCTTGAGGATAATAACTGGGGTTGCCCACCGGCTCGGCTCCAAACCAGCAAGCCACCGATTCGCCTCCAAACCATCAATTTGGAAGCTGATCGACTTTGCTGTCGCCGATGAATTGTTGAAACTGAGCAAAGTCGAACACGTAAAACTAAATAGGCTCTTGGTGTTTGTTTGTTTTTACTTTCTTAAAGTTGTGTGCCGCAAGACACGTCCAGATTGCCACACACACACACACATGCACGCACACATGCATGCATGAATGCGTACACATTTATTTACACACATAGACAGACAGACAGACAGACAGCAGACAGACAGGCAGACAGACAGACGGACGGACGGACGGACGGACACGGACAGACACGGACAGACACAGGCAGACACAGACAGACACAGACAGACACAGACAGACACAGACAGACAGACAGACACAGACAGACACAGACAGACACAGACAGACACAGACAGACACAGACAGGCACAGACAGACAGAGACAGACACAGAGACACAGACAGGCACAGACAGACACAGACAGACAGAGACAGACAGAGCCAGACAGAGACAGACACAGACAGACAGAGACAGACAGGCAGGCAGGCAAGCAGGCAGACAGACAGACAGACACATAGACAGACACACGTGCGTGCAGTACATGGAAAGTGCATTGCGATGCATTACAGAACGGTACACCACGCCTGCCCATGGTGCAGCCTCGGCACTGCCATGTCTGTGGTTCCGCCGCGAGTGAACGGCCAGATGCCACAGGTGCTACCGCCTCGCTCCGGATTTGGCACGGGATGGCCTCAAGTCACGCCATCTGGAACGCGATGCACCAGCCTTTGGCAAGATGGCAATGATATTGACAAGCTGCGCTGCCATCTCAGGCACCACAGGTCTACTGCTGCAGTGGCAGCACGCAGGTTCAGATCCTGTTGGGGTTCCTGAAAAGTCCTCCTCTGCCTAAGGGAGAACCTAGATAGGTTCTGGGTTTGCCAAGTTGTAGGTGACATTCTAAACCCCAAACTCGCTGCCTGAGTTCCTGGACTTTTAAGCTTTTTGAAAATACCATTTTTTGTGCAACCACTTTTTCGTCCACTCCGTTCAAGAAGTCAAACAAGGGCGTCTAGACGAAGCCTTCGCCAGGCTCCGGCCTCCCTGTGGCCCCGCTGGATTGACAAAAGAAGGCAAGGCTTCGGAAGTGTCGACTTGGGGCTCTTTTTAGGTTCATAATCAGTTTGTTTCGCGGTTGATGAATGTGTTGGGATTTACTATGAGCTTATAACTTGTGTTTCGTTTAGGCTTTTGTTTTAACAGCAACTAATGATGTATGTGCTTGATGGTTTCTTAGTTTTACGCTTGATGTGTTGCTTTGTTTCATGTTTGTTCTGCCGTTTCATAACTTCTTGGTTTCACGATCTATTTCTGTGTTGATTCCAACTTGAATATCGGGATTATACCAACATACATTTTAAACACGGTTTATGTGTTTCACCCCTGCGTAGTTTTGGTTCCTGTATCAAAACCGGGGACACCCATTGTTGAAGGTTCTTCGCCGTGTCACTATGAATTAGCTTATTGATGTTGTTATTCCCCTGTTCCACTATTCATTGACTCATTGCTCCTTGTTCTGTTCGACTATTAGTTTGTGCATGTCATTATTGCATTGTTGCGCTATTGCTGGGTTTTCTCCGTATATACATGTTAAAGTTGCGGAACGTAACATGCTCCGGATATATGAGTATGATGCAAATGGTGTACCCTGGGTATGGCCAGCTTATGTTGTTTATAGGTTTTATTATTTTTGTGTTTTCTCAATTTTCAATGTATCTCCTTCGTTTAGTGTTTCGTTATCGGAGTCCTTGTTCTCGCGTGTTCTTTGTTGCTTCGAGTGCATTGTAGGTTTCTCAGAGTGCTTGTTTCTTTTGCTATATTGTTCCGTTCTGTGGTGTGTTGTTTTCTTCTGTTATTGCGTTTCTTTTCTTTGATGTGGTTTGCTGTTGGTTGCTTTATGTCTCATTTAGCTTGCGATGTTGTTTGCGATTTGTTTTCCTTTTCATGTGTTTTTCTGTTTGTTCTCGGTCTACATGTGTGTGTGTGTGTGTGTGTGTGTGTGTGTGTGTGTGTGTGTGTGTGTGTGTGTGTATGTGTGTGTGTATGTGTGTGTGTGTCGGGAAGGCCTATAGCAAGCGTACGTGGCCAGCGGTACTTCGATGCAGGATGTGTGGTTGATTAATCTGGTTTGACATTGGCAAACGGCAGTTTTGCAGAAAGTCACATAGACCCAATACCATCGACTCTTGCCCAGACACTGGGATTTGACCACGCTTACAGAAGATTGACTTGGGTGTGTCCTAAAAAGGATACCCAACACATAATTGGTTTCTATTGATTCCCTTTCAACTCATGCCAAAGGAGGTTCAAATATCGCGGCACGAAGTCCATTGCTTAGACTTGTAGATATGTTGCCCTTTGCCTGTCGAGGTCTCGACATTCTGAGATGACACAACCAGTGGTTCAGCTTTGCCCTCAATCCCATTTTGTTCGGGCAACCCCACTGCAAATGGTCAACCCCTGAACAAGTTCCATAGTTAATCCCTCTAACAGGGTCACTACGCAAATTCGAGACCCTTTGCTCGTACCCCTTGACTCCCTGGTTTCTCCATTTTGGAAATATATTCTTTTTGAAGAGAGGGATGTGAGCAGGCTTGTGAAAGGGGCATGGCAACTTGTAACGACCTGTTCGGCGCGACGGAAGGTCGCTTTGGGGACTTCTTGTTGACTTGTACATTGTCAGAAAGTTCAGGACTTGTGGGTACTTTTGTGTACCCCCTTTTTGTGGCTTGAGAAGCCAAAAGAAATCCTTCAGCCAAATCCTACAAATGGTGCTTCTCACGAGAACTGCTAAGCAGCTTATTGGTTGGTGAATAGTCGCAAATGATCCCTAGGGGAGTCCGAAGACGACCAAGTTGGACACAATCAGTGGCCCCCCGAAAAAAGGGGCAGCGTTCCCTCGTTCACCCCAGCAAACATGGAACTGCACAGACCCTCGTCTTTCAAAAGGGCCCATAGGGGTCCATGCACTAAACCATGTTTAATCAGATTGAGCCCACAAAACGAATCTATTACTCTCCAACAATCATGGAAGCTGACAGCAGGGTTAAGACTAGTTTTCTGTTGCGAAAGCCCTCTGCCAAATTCCGTGAGTGTTGGAAAGATAATTTTGTTGAGTCGTCCTGTTTGGGGCCCATGTGAAGTCAGGGGCGGGAACGTGCCACTTGTCGCCAGGTACGTTGGGCCGGCCGCGGAGAAAAAATCAGACGCGCGGGGGGAGGCGATTGCTTTCCGAAGCCACAGGGAGGACCGAAGCCAAAGACTGTTCTTTTTCAGGCCCGGCACCTTTTTCAATCAGCCAAGATGTAGAGCTTTTGGCCACTCGCCCAAATCTCTGAACCTTCGGAAGGGCAGTGCAGTGGCAAACAGGTCAGACCCCCAACTGGTGCCAATCCGAAGGCGGAGCGCCAGGAATCCGCATTCCGCGTGACTTGGGAGTTGGGACGCTCCGCAGACCTGGCCCAAGCTGAAGGTTTGAGCGCCGCCATGGGCGTCGGAGCTAAGGTCGAAGGCGCCAGTGGGCATGGGGCATCCCAAAACTTGACTGCGATTGGGTTGCATCTTCAGACTTTAGCTTTTTGGGAATGAAGGTCTTTTCCACTACACCCCCAAAATTACACTTTTTGCAGGGGGGTCAAGAGAGTTCATCGGAAGCGGGGGTCCATCCAACGGCCTTGATCCGGTCTGGGGGTCCACCCAAGTGTACCCCCGGAGTGTTGTAGTGTTGTATAGTGGACCCTTCAACCGTTTGGTGTTCCCGGACTCTTTGGCAAACAGTTTCGTCATCCCAAAAGTTGTACAAGCTTTCTGGGACAGAGTCATAAATGGGTCATGTTCGAAGTTTCCAAGACAGAATGGTGGTTCCAAGAGAATCGCTCCCAAAGGTACCGTATAGACTGGGTCCACCCTTTCTCGTGAGTCTTCGATGAGGTTGCGAAGTGCGGCTCACACCGGCCACACTGTTCTCAATTGCATGCTATTTGCAATGGATGGATGTTCCGAAAAACACTGTTTTCGAAAGGACTCGTTGTGTGGTTGAGGTTCATGACAGCGACAAACTCTGGGGGATGCGATGAGGCGCCAAATCGTCGGATGGGGCGAAGACAGCCCTGCGAGAAGTGCTGCATTTGCTGCGTGTCTACTGGGCGCTTTTGCTGGGCAACGTGCTGGAATGGCCGGGACCCCCAAGAGGGACGTGTGTGTGTGTGTGTGTGTGTGCACGTGTGTGTGCGCACGTGTGTGTGTGCTCATGTGTGTGTGCGCATGTGTGTGTGTGTGTGTGCGTGTGTGTGTGTGTGTGTGTGTGTGTGTGTGTGTGTGTGTGTGTGTGTGTGTGTGTGTGTGTGTGCGTGTGTGTGCGCGTGTGTGTGTGTGTGTGTGTGTGTGTGTGTGTGTGTGTGTGTGTGTGTGTGTGTGTGTGTGTGTGTGTGTGTGTGTGTGTGTGTGTGTGTGTGTGTGTGTGTGTGTGTGTGTGTGTGTGTGTGTGTGTGTGTGTGTGTGTGTGTGTGTGTGTGTGTGTGTGTGTGTGTGTGTGTGTGTGTGTGTGTGCGTGTGTGTGTGTGTGTGTGTGTGTGTGTGTGTGTGTGTGTGTGTGTGTGTGTGTGTGTGTGTGTGTGTGTGTGTGTGTGTGTGTGTGTGTGTGTGTGTGTGTGTGTGTGTGTGTGTGTGTGTGTGTGTGGTGTGTGTGTGCGTGTGCGTGTGCGTGTGCGTGCGTGCGTGTGTGCGTGTGTGCGTGTGTGTGTGTGTGCGTGTGTGCGTGTGTGCGTGTGTGTGTGTGCGTGCATGCGTGCGTGCGTGCGTGCGTGCGTGCGTGCGTGCGTGCGTGCGTGCGTGCGTGCGTGCGTGCGTGCGTGCGTGTGTGTGTGTGCTTTGTTGCGTTGTGTTGTGTGTGTGTGTGTTCTGAGTTGGTACCCTTTGTTTCAAGTGGAACCCAGCCCGCAAACGACCATCCCTGCAACCCCCCAACATTTCAAGACCTTGTCAACAAAGGTTCGCGTGACTTGGATGCTCAACCTCAGTAAACGGATTCCCATGGGAACAAATCTGAGATTGCCTCGTGTCCCGACCTCAAGCGAACCATTTCCTGTTGTTCCTTTTGATACGTCCTCTCTAAACATTCAACCAACAACCAATAAGTTGACCATATGTTTTGACCCTGGCCGGTACGACTTGGACAGGGTTACCCGGGTTGCAATGAAATTGGTTGGTTCCCGCTTGGGTTGATCTCCAAAGCGATTTTCCTCAATCTGGGTGGTTGCTTTGTGGTTTTGCCTTAAGCCACCCTCAAAGAAGACACACCTATTGTGATACCAAGGAATCTTCCTAGATGTTTGATTCGTCTTGGCCGCACGGGTCCCGCGACTGAGTGCTCCAAGGGTACTCTTTCTGTTGGGTGCGTTGCACCAAAAGGAAACCGACCTATTTTGGCAGTGCCTCACACCTTATCCAACAATGATGCAGTCTGACACGGAAGTTTTGGAAGACTACCTTGCTGAAATGACCCTCCTTCGAGTTCCTGGAGTGCCTGGAGTGTTGGTTGGGTAAGTACTTCCGGATTCGGAGCCTTTCCTATGACCACTGGGATCTTCTTTGTTATCTTATAGTTTTAGTTTCCCTGATGGGGGACAAATGCATGCCAAGGTCGACTGACAGACAGGACATGTGGCTAGCTTTCGACAGATTCTCCACGCGGACATCCAAGGTACGAGTTCGCCGTGTACAGCTTTTTAGAGCCCTACTTCCAAGGCTCGGGCTTCCTTGTGAAAAGGCGATACCCGAATGCCGGGATCCCCCAAAAGGTTCCGTGGTTCCATGTGAGAGGTCTGCAGGGGAGTATTTCATAGGGGCCAGCACCCCCTCCCCCTGAGTTTTTGCAAAGGCCAATCCGGGTCTTAGAGCACCCCCTAGCTTTGTGGCCTTGTGTCTCTGCTTCTCACAACCACATGCTCAGAAATGGTTGAGCCCTGCCCACTTTGGTCGGCTTTCTAACCCCCAAACCAGAGTACCAACTTCCAAACAATCCGGGGCGCCCATATGCCGCTCGGCATTCGACCCTCCAAGCCAAGCGGTCTCAGTGGGACCCAGCAAAAGTCTCGCCCACAATAAGGCAAACGGGGTCCGAAACATGTGTGGCCAACGTTTGGCTTCACTTTATATCTTAGTCCTTTCCCCAAATGACGGTGGTGCACATGATGGCGGTAAACAAATAAAATAAAATGGACCTACACTGACATGATGGAGACCGAGCCCTTACGAATGTGATGGAACACACATGGGTGTTCCTCAAAATTGGGGACCCATCCAGGTAGGTGGTTTCCTTTTGGTTTTTAATTAGAACCGTCCAATAGGTCCCCAATTTCAAGACACCCCGACATGTCCCCTCAAATCACTCCACATGAACAGGAAACTCCTCTACGACTGATCTTTAGCCACCCAAGGTAGCTACAAGGATCCCCCAAACTGGCTAGCTTTGGGTTCCCCTTCACCCCCTTCGAAAAAAGTCAAGAGGGACTGCTCCACCAACCTTCATGACCCATCTGTCAAAATTCTGCAACCCAATAAACATGCCCGAACGCAGGTAAAAGTGGTGTTGTCAGTAGGGTATAGGGGCCCTTGCACCTTAGCACCTTTCCTTGAACACCTGGGGATGAATCACCTGCTTTCATGGACCCGCCATTCCCCCAAGGAACAACTGCCGTCTGCAGCCAAATTCTTCGCTTTACTTTCCAGGCCCAAAGGATGTTTCAACAAATCCGCGATTCCGTTTTTCAGGAGAAAAGCCACCAAACCGGCTGCCATCAAACCTTCAGTTGCCGTGGACACACCTGGTTAGTCAAAATCTACCCCCCCCCCCCCCGACAAAAGTGATGGTTGGCAAGGGGTTCCCCTTGCACCTTAGAACCTTCCTCTTGAAACCTTCCTTGAAAATAATGTGTGTTTAATTTAAAGCCTTCCTTTCAACAGCACCCACAAGAAAAGGGGAAGCCAACCCCCTTGCCATCACCTGCTCTCATCCGCAGCCAATGTTTTTGCTTTGCAGGGAAACCCAAAGGCAGATGTTCGAATAATACATGTTTCCCATGTTTGTTGTGCCCTTGTTAAGTCTCCTTTTAATGTTGCATCCCCTTCGATTACTAACTCCCCCCCTTGTTGGGCCACGAAAAGCCCAAGCACCCGCCCAAACACTTCTTTCCACTTGCTTAAGAACATGTTGGTTTTTCTCCTGTCTGTTTTTTTAAACAGAAAGTTGGTTCCTCCCCTGTTTTCCGGGGGCTTCAGCCAAAAGCCTCGCTCAGAAAACTTCTTCGCGGGCTCGGCCATCTCCACGTGGCTGGGCTTCGCGTGCACCTTCGTGGCGCGGCCCTTCGGGGGCATCGTCATCGGGGTCATCGGGGACATCTTCGGCCGCAAGGCCGGGTCGCCCCGCGCCCCGCGCCCCGCGCCCCGCGCCCCGCGCCCCGCGCGCCGGCGAGAAAGGGGCGCGGGCGGAGCCAGGGGCGAGGGGCGAGGGGCGAGCAAAGGCCACCGTGCCGGGCGGTGAAGTTCGAGGAGTCCATAGGAAGGCTCACACTTTTTTTTTAAATGTGCGTGGCAAAGCAAGATCGGGTCGGCTGAAGTGTGGTGGTTTGCTGGTTGGGTGTCAAACATCAAATTGCTGGGGTTGGGCTTTTGAGGAAGGGGAGGAGGGGCGAGCTGAGACGCGGGAGGAGGCGAGGCGGTCAATATCCTAGTCGCCCAGTAAATTCACCCCGATGCTTCTTCTTTTTTTGTGGAAATTGCTCTATGTGGATTCCACCTTTTTGTTGGGGGGGGGACAGGTTTCCCTTTGACATCGAACTGCAAGAAAAGCCAGGCTTTTCTTCCGCGTTCGAAGATGCGGAAACGAGCCCTCCACCAGACCTGTTGGGGGTGGGGCTGTAAGAACCCATTACCATCATTTGGGTTTGACTGGGTGGGTAAAAATTGAACCACCAGCAGACCGCAGGTTTTTCTTCCAGGGCAACCCATTATCGAGAACCTATTTTTGACCCACAACCAAATGCTGGCCGAACACTCTGAGACGCAGGTCGGGCCCAACCATGCTTTTTGGGTAGACTCCTTTGCCGAGTTTGATTGTGACTGCGTTCCATGGGGTTTGGACTACCCAACTTTTGCTGATTGTTCTTAATGGATGTCTACTCAGCTTCTTTGGTTTTGAGTGACTCAGATGTTTCCTTCAATTAGCCACAAAGGGCTATGAGTTTCAAAAAGGGAGGCCCTTAAAAGTGGTTGGTGGACTGAATTCCCAACCTTAAATGGTGTCCACCATTTCGCGCCCCGATCAGAATTCACACCCAAATGTTGATTTTTCAAAAGCGACTAGATGGGTGTGAGTTTTCCGAGGTTTCTTTTTGAGGTTCGGTTGAAGGGAAACAAATTCAAAACCACAATGTTGGGAGGTCCGCCTGTATTGAACCACATATAAATATATATATATATTTATACATACATACATACATACATACATACATACATACATACATACATACATACATACATACATACATACATACATACATACATACATACATACATACATACATACATACATACATACATACATACATACACACATACATACATACATACATACATACATACATACATACATACATACATACATACATGCATACATACATACATACATACACACATACATACATACATACATACATACATACATACATACATACATACATACACACATACATACATACATACATACATACATACATACATACACACATACATACATACAGACATACACATACATACATACATACATACATACATACAGCATTACATACATACATACATACATACATACATACATACATACATACATACATACATACATACATACATACATACATACATATACAGATATACATACACATATACATACATACATACACATACACACATACACACACATACATAAATACATACATACATACATACATACCTATATACATACATACATACATACATACATACATACATACATACATACATACATACATACATACACATACTATGTATATATGGTACTGCCCCGCAACAAATAACAGTAACTTGCTGCGCAAGGGGATTCGCTCGGACACTCCTCTTGGTTCCGAAATTCCATGTTTGATCGAACAAGATAAACACTAACACCTGCACACATTTGCAGGAATAGGTGTCCTTTTTCGGACAGTTTGGTTCAAGACAGATGGCACTGGCTGAGATGGGGTTTATTCCATCTACCGGGGGCCATCTATTTGTCCAAAACGCCTCCTATGTTTGCAGCTGTTTCCCACCGTTTTTTGTCTGGGTATCTTGGCTCTCAATCCGGCAAGAACAAACACGCAGGTCTCCACCTTCCTCTCGATCTTTGGGATGCTGATCGGCACCGTGGGCCAAGGCGCGGAGTCGCCCGCCACAGACGGCGGGCCAGTTTCCAGGCATCCGGTTCCTTAGGATAGGACTTGGTGGTGGGCTACCTTTCCAAAAGTTGAGCTTTTGGCAGATCTGAAAAAACGACCCGCCCAGTTGTTTTTGCCTCGCTTTCCGCTGAAGCCCAGTTGATTCGTGGCATCGTTTTGGGGAATTGCGCCACTTGCGTACCAGGTTTCGATATCTCTGCAGATCTTCACGGAGCCCAGAATTCACAGTCCTTTTCCCTATTCCTCCCTAAGATCCTTTGCCCCCTTTCCCTGTTCAGATCCTTTCCCCCCTTTCCCCTAAGGCCTTTCCAGATCCCCAAAAGGAGATGTCTCTATGTTGAGACATGAAGGGGTGTTGTGTTCCATGTCAATCTGCGGGCGAGCTGTTCAGCTGTTCCCCCATCAGGTCTGGTCCCCAGCTACGCCAGTGGACAAGTTGCCGGCACCATCGGCTTAGTGCCACGGTTGCAACTCGTGGGCTCTGGTTGCTTTTCTTGGGGCTGGGGTTGCCAACATCTGCAAAGTGAGTAAGAATGCCACCACAGCGCATTTTTTTGGCAGAACATCCGAAACACGAGCCACCCATGCCTTGGTATTTCGCCCAACTAGGTTCCCCAGTAGTGCCCTTTTACCCTTTTTTTGGGGAGGGTTCCCCTACAGAAAAAAGGGTACCCTTACTCTTAACCTCTCTACTGGACCTAGCCAAGGTGCTGCTGGTGTCCTTGAGGTTCTTGCAGGGCATCTGCACAGGCGTGCGTATACGCCGACGGAAACCGAGCCGCAGACTCGCTCGGGGCGAGTGGCCGTTTCAGGGTGAAAACACGCCCTGAACCATAGGTGTCCTTTTTGGCTGAGTTTGGTTAAAAGTAGATGGCACTGGTTTAGATGGGGCTTATGCCCCATTTGCCAGGGCGATCTGTTTTTCCAAAAGGCCACCTATGCCCTAGACGTTTCTCATGGGAGTGTTCACTGAGTCTCTCCACGTGGAATTCGGAAGCCCCGGTTTTGGCATAAGGGAGCTAAATGGAAGCCGTCGCCATGCCAAGGACATGGACGGATGCCTATGTGGAGAAACCCGATTGTTGGCCAACCAGGAAGCCCAATGTTTGAGGACCATGCACACATCCGGGAGGAGTCCGGGATGGTCGATGTTTGTTTCAGGCGGCGAGATCGCGGCGGTGTCCACCTACATCACAGAGGCGGCAACGCCGGGAATTGGGTTTCGGGTTGGCGCTGCCTGGCACCCGGAAAAGAAGGGGGGTGGAGGGGTGTAGGGGAGGGGGTAACACGGGGGGTGGGGGAGAGGGGTGTAGCGGTTTCATGGGGTAACATGGGGACATGGAGGGAGGGGGGCTGGTAAGGGGGGAGGGGGGAACATGGCGACCAGGGGGCCCTGCTGTTCAAAATCCGTCGCCTGCCGGAAAACAACAAGAGTGCTTCCGAGCTACGGGCCTGGGAGGTAGCGCTGGGGTTTGCTGAGGAGCTCCAGGAAGTGTTGGGGAAGCTTGCAAGTTTTTAGGGCTACCCAACTCCCTCCCTCCCCTTTACACCTGACACCTCCCTTAAGAATTCCATAGTGGAAGCCGCAAAGCCGTTTTCTTTCATTGTTTTGTTCTGTTTCCATGACATCCTCAAAAGGGACCAAGCAACACCAGAACATGTTATACCTTGGCGTACCCCAGACGGCCAGATTGACCAAATCAGCTAAGGAGTGCTTGGTTTTCCCTTCCATCAGAACCCAGTTGATCAATAACCCTTGATTGTTGTCGGGGGTGTCCAGTCCGGGCCACGAAAACGGCCAAGCTAGGTTCAGCCAAGTGACAGGTCCATTTTCCCAGAACTACCCAAGACGTATTTGTTTTCGGGTTTTCAGAAGTTCATGTGGATTCCCGCACCAAACTGGACCCCCTTCTGCATCCAACTTTCACTTGCCTACGAACATCTTTGTATTTCCCTTGTTCGTTTAAACGGGAGGCCATCACTACGGGACATATTTTTTGTGCTTTTTCCCATGAGGCGAAAAAGCAAATTGAAGCCAACCAAGCCGGCCCTTCTTTCCAAACATCCCACCACGCCCACCCCACCCCACCCCACCCCACCCCACCCCACCCCACCCCACCCCACCCCCCACCCCCCCCCCCCCCCCCCCCCCCCCCCCCCCCCCCCCCCCCCCCCCCCGCGGTCCCCCGGCATCACCTGCAACTCCCAGCAAAATGAGCGTGCCTCCCGAGATCCGGAGTTTCCATGGCCCCCCCCCCCCCCCCCCCCCCCCCCCCCCCCCCCCCCCCCTCAGAGGTGGGGCCGAAGAGCTGCCTGGCGCGGTCCATGGCCTTGATCGGCATCACCTGCAACTCGATGCAAACTTTGTCGAGCATCGCTCGGTCCGGCGCTTGAGCGTTTGGCGTGGGAATGAGCGTGGGAATTGGCGTGGGAAGATCCGCCGAGTCTTGTTTTTTTTTTTGGAGATCCGAGATCCGAACTTCCCGAGTTTCCAGAGATGGGAGATCGCGGAGATCCGGCGTTTGCAGCTCTGAACTTCTCCAGATCCCGGACTTCCCTCCGTGTCGCTGGAGGTAAAGAAAGACGTCCTCCACCCAATGCCTGAGTTGCGGGACTTTGATTTTTTTTGGGAGACCGTTTTGCGGGCAAACACAAGCGCGGTTACCTTTTTTGGGCAATCCACTCAGGAAGCGAGAAGGGCATTCATTCACTAGGAAACCCGCATGGTTGGATATTTCAGGTGGCTGTAATTCCCTCGTTCCCTGCCTTTCGACCCATCAATACCCCTTGACTACCTGGTAGATTCCGGGGATTCGGTGAGCCGTGAAAGGAACAAAAAGGAAACCACAATTGTTTAAATCAAGAAGGGTTTGGGGAAGGCATCCAGCGAATTTGTCGACTTCCAGGAAATGATTTGGCGCCTTCCGCCGCCGCTTCCGGGGATTCTGGAAACCAGAGTGATTGGAATGAGCCGCTTCCGGGGATAAGCCACCAGTGGCTCAATCATAAACAGCTGGGGCTTTCCCAGGTTTTAGATTTTAGGGCTGCCAAAGCAATTAATTCCTTGTGGTTTTTCGGCGAATCCTTGGAAACTAAATCAGGTTGCCCGTTTCCCAGGTCTGCTTATCGCCTACAAGAAAAATGATGATCAGAATATGATGACGGTGCTGATGACAATAGCCGGACATGGAAGTCCATAAAGAAAAGAGGTCGCATTTCAATTCCACAATGAAAAAGATGCTGCTGCTGATGATGCTGCTGCTGCTGATGATGATGATGATGATGATGATGATGACGATGAATGAGGATCAATGACGATGAGAGTGATGATGATGCTGATGATGATGCTGCTGATCATGATGATGATGAATGATAACGGGGATGACGATGGCTATGATGATAGTGAGAATGATGATGACCCACCCTTCCCGTGCGTCTCCCTTTTTCAGCAGGGGTCGGCAAAGTTGTTGCTTCCATTTACCGCTACCAAAACACTTTTTTTGAGAGCCACACACCCAGGTGGGTCGGCGGAGTTGTTTTTTTCTTTTCTTTTTTTCTGTTTCCATTTCCCAACTGCCATTTGAAGCCTCGGGGGGGTCCTTTTTTTTGCGAGCCACAGTGACTCATCGCTTGGCTTCTGGCTTTCAACCGATTGGTTCACGGCCGGTTGAGGCAACGTGGGCTTCTTAGCCGCGCAGCTGGTCTCCTACTTGGCGCTGGAGCTCCTCGGGGAGGCGGCGATTTTTTGTTTTTGCGGCTCGGGCGTGGTTTACAGGTGCTCTGGGGTTCCTTCAAATCACCCTTACAACAACTCACTTCCTGAGTTCATGGGTTTTAAGCTTATGGGGTTTGAACCATGTCAATGACACTGTTAATGAGTGGTAAGGTGGATCAAGCCTCCCTGGTTGATAAAACCTCCCTGGTTGATTAGCACGGGGTGTTGTATGGGAATCCTTCGCTATGCGCGTAGGAAATGATGCTGGAGTGGGGCTGGCGCCTACCCTTCCTCATCGCCGGCATCCCCGGCCTCATCGCCGCCCGGCGAAAAGCGAAGCACGAAAAGCGAAGCGAGCGAAGACGAAGAATGGGTGCTGCTGGGTGTGGTTGCGGTTCCCGCTTTTGTCGAAGCTCGTTTGAAGGTTACATGTAAAACACATGACATCTATTTTGTGTTTGTTTGGGACCTCTTTTCTTTGGGGAGGGAATTTACATGTTTGATTTGTATGTTCCCTCAAACACGAAATATTGCCAAAAGCAGCGGACAGATCCAATATGGCGGATGTTTCGCGAAACGGGGATCCTTTTTGCAGGGTGTCCACTTGGTTGTTCACCCCACTGTAGGTCGTCACAGTGGTACACGGGACAGGGGTTGTGAGGTTGTTGCTTTTGGTGGGGAGGGCTGGGGCTGGAGATGGGTTGGATGGGTCGTTGGTTGGGAGCTCCTTTTTTTTCCCCCCTTTCCGCCGACCCCGCCTCTGCTGGTTTTTCTTGGATGAAGACATTCCAGAGCAAATTTAGAATTCTGAGTTCATAACTCAATCGGTGAAACCGCGATCCTTAGAATCTAAAACCGAAATCTGCTTCCACCTGAGCGCAGTATAGCATGAACATCAGTTCATGTGCATGTTAGGCTCGAACACCAAATGTGCAAATGCTCCCTTGAGGGAAGGTTGAGCTCCCAGTCCAAATACCTCTGTGTCGCGGGCCGGGTTGGGGGATCGGGTGAGCTTGGGGGGCTTGAAATGGGCTGTTGCCACGCTGGCTACATTTAAGGGTAGGGGCGGTTGCCCGCAATGGTGTATATATATATATATATTATATGTATATATTATATATGTATGTATATATGTTATGTATATATATATATACATATTCCTGAAAGGCACACAAGAGGTACTAGAAGTTCAGGGGTATGCTGGTAGCCTTGTGCTACTTATCACAGCCCTTGCCAAGTCGCCGTCCCCCCCAAGGCGACTCTGGGGCGGCGGTGCATGCCGGAGTCGAACGAGTTTCTGGAGGCGAGCAAATGAATCGAGATTTGGATGCCAACCAAAACCAACCAAAACTCAGCAGTCTCAAAACCCACCAACTTCTCAACAACTTTGGCCTAGTTGATCCTGGACTTGTTTCAACCTTGGAGATAAGCTGGAGTAGCATGCCACCACATAGTTTCGACCTAAGTGACCCTTCGGCACTACGTGGCTCTCATGGCCGCGACCTTGGATTCAAAAACTCATCGGCCATTGAAGGGTTTGCCAAAACAAGACAACAGCAGACCGATCGGGTTCTTTCGGTTTTGGCCTTGCGCAAAGAACAGGGAAAAAGTGTGTGTTTTGTTCCACATTGGGGGGATTCTTGTAATTGAAGCCATCCTAAATGAGCTACTTTCAATGTTTCACCATCTTGGGTGTGTCTTTATAGGGGGGACTCCCAAAAGGTGGTTTTCCTTGTGGTTCTCCCTTGAAACCACCAAAGCAAGGGTACCCTCAAACACATACCCACCCATGTCGCACGTGCAAGTGTGAGGTTATCACTTTGATGTTTAACCCGTTTTGCAACACTCATGGGCCTTGGAGAGGATGGCAGTCCAACATCTAGTCCAATTCCATGGCTGAAAAGCGGGGATCCAAAAGTGAGAAAGGACAATCCCAGCCATAAATGGGTGCGGCCGCCGTTTCAATTCTGTACATGGTTCCGGGTAGACCATTTTATCACCGGAGAGCGCTTCTTTGGCCTATGTTGCACAATTGAGGTGTCCGGCCGGGTTTAACCGGCGCGAGCTTTGGGCGAAAGCCAAGGCCGAATCTCTTATTCGGGCTTTGGAATCTCACATGACGAAGCCTTTTGCACAAGGCCCCAAAAAAAGCGGTTTGAAATCCGCCAAAGGAATTCCCTAGTTGCTCCAGTGGGCGTCTAGGTGCAGTGACACGCTTGGTTCCAAACATTTGAGACGGTCCCTCGTTCTCGGTTTCCGGGGGGCTGGACGCAATGGTGACATGCCTAGCTGGGCTGACCGGTTCCTTTTCAGGGATGCCGCCTCTTGAACTTGTTGCTGTTGGGTTAGATCTTTAGACTTTCACTGTGGGACAAATCAAGTTGGTGTTCCATTGAACCCACAAGAGTTCAAATGCTTTTTGCGGAGGGGTCAGCAGCAACCAAGTGAAGGGGATACCCGGACAGCCCCAAACTTTCACCACCCAAAGGCCCACCTTAAGGCGGCTCGCGGCAGTCAAAGCCGTGAGGCGCGAGCCGCGGCGGTGGTCTCGGAGCCGGGAGCTGACGCGGAAGAGGAGTGCGGCGGAGCGAAAGGTACGAAGTTGTGAAGTCGGAGTCTGAGTATCAGGGTGTTGGGATCAACCGGGGTTTATCTCCCACCTCTGTGACACAAAGGAATCCCCTCTTTCTATGGGAATTGTGTCTTTGGGAGGCCCTTTTTTGTTGGATCACAGAAGTGGTCATTTCCCACAGCCCTGCTGAGTATTGATGTTGAAAGGGGAAACCATTGTTGGAATATGGTGACATCCCGGAGTTAAATCGTCCTTTGTAACTGTGTCATGTGCCTAAAGAAAAGCAAAGTGAGTCTTCTCTGGATGTTCATCCCACTTTTTCATCCACGTGTTTCTCCTTTGGGAGGGTGTCCCTTTGAAGTCAATCGGCAACTGAGCTGCGTTCCGAATTGCCGCGGTCAGTCGGGTGTGTCGAGGGTACCATTTTCAGGTTGCTTCAGAATAAACCACCATCGACCCCAAACAGCAGCTGCGCACAATTGGACCGCAAATTGCGACCACCAGAGACCATGTCTGGCCAGCCAATCGGGCTGCCAAGTCAAGGACGAGACATTGCTTCGCATGAATGGGATGCAAGCACGGGGAAAAACAACTGGGTAAACAGTTGCTGTCGTCAAGTCTTATCGCAGCTTTGGTTTTCACAGGGAAACAAGTGTGGAGACAATTGGGAAGACAAGTGGGGAGACTAACTGTGACAAGGTCCCAGCCAGCAACCGCAAGCAAGGAGATGAGTCGGAAAGCACAAGCGGGTAGAAAACGGGGTGACAAGGGGGAAGACACGTAGGGAGACAAGCCGTGACAAGGTCCCAGTCAGCCGGGCGTGCGTGCAGGGAGAAGTGGGGAGGCAAGCTGTCGCAAGGTCCAAGTGAGCAACTATGAGCAACTGAGAGCAGGGAGACGAGACAAGTGGGAAAAAAGTGGGGAGGCAGTACGGGTACCAAGGGCCAATCATCTCGTGACTGCGAGCAATTCTTGAAAATCACATGTTTGGGTGTTCCCTATCTTGAGACACACCATTTCAGGCAAGGAGATGACATGATTCTTAAAACCCGTCCCAGAGCCCGGAAGGTTTTCAAGCAGCCAGAAACCAGCGCGCCCTCCCTAACAGTTGGTTTCCTCTCCTTTAAAGTCTTCAGTTGTTTGTAGTTGGTCGTCTTTTGCAAGTGCAACTCGGTTGCGGATGCATCCGTTTCCAGGAAGTCAGTGAGTCCAACGGCAGCTCCAGCGATGTAAAGGAAGGTGGGGAGAATTCTGAATGTGTTGAGTTGATCGATGGTGTTGCCTCTGGAGATTGATATGGATCAGAGTCTCCTCCCAACATATGATATATTTTATTCTAGACTGAAGTATGGCCCAGAATCAAGAAGCATATGTTTTGCATACTCGGCCTTGGGCCGCTCAGGCACTCATGTGCGACTAGTCGGCAGTTCACAGCCTGTCTGGCTGATGGCATTGCGGAAAGCCGGCGCAAACCAACTGCCACGTGAGTTTTGATGGAACAACCAAAACCCCCCCAGGAAAGGGTTCCTAGAGCCCTTTTGGATATGGAAGTATGGCCACTTGCCAAGGGATGGTCTTCTCTGCTTTTACTCCATTTTGGAAGGAACATATACAGACACCACCCATTTTGGAGGTAGGGTACACCTTGGCTCATGAGCCTGGAGGATTGGGCAACCCAGCCAGGTTCAGGGCTTCAGATAGAAACCAGCGAGTATGTCCCACCAAAGAAGGAGGTTCCTGCGATTTCCGGTGGAGTTTCCCGCGGGTTTCTTTGACCGCTTTGAGCTTTTCAGGTTCGAAAAGGGCCGCTGCCAGCGCCAAGATGCGATCCTTGCTGGGCTCTTATTGGGGGAGCCTCGGCAGGTTTGGCGCGAGCTTTTTGAGCCAAAGTACTCGTCCTCTGCATACAGTGGATGGACGAAATTCATTTCGCACCTAAGAAACCCTGGTTTCTGCTGACTTCACTATAAATTCCAACTAACTTTATGGCTTCAACCATTGTTCTAGGGGTACCTTCCCCATTCTTTCCAGGGATCCTTCTCTCTAGGAAACCTCTGGAAACCCAGGGGAAACGGCCGGTTTTTGGAATGAAAAGAATGGTTGAAAAGAATGGGGAATCAGACCCTAGAATTGTTTCAAACAGCCATCCCCGTAGGTTCTTGGCTTTTGGTTGGTTCCGAAAAAGAACCACTGGGAACAGCCCAGTCGGGAGTTGCTGATGTCAGATAGATTTGGCTCGTGATTTCACTCATAACGCTCCGTTTCTGGGCGCGTGGTTCAATTAAATAATGTCCGCGCCCGCCAAAACTATATCGATGCAAGGTCTAATCGAGGACTGGACTTGGCCTTTTTGCAAAACACGTGAGGCGCATAACCGATAGGGCCCCAGAACCGATACCCCTAAATCGTAGAGGGCCTGTCGGCATGGGGGCTGAGTTTTTCAGATTCCTGGGGGCTGAGTTTTTCAGATTCTTAGGGGCTGAGTTTTTCCATTGAAAACGCTAAAACATACCAAAAATATAAGATCAAGACCCGTGACCTCTTAGATTTATTGGGGTGCGGGTTTCTTGTTTCTTTTTTTTTTTATTGTTTTTTTTGGCTGATGACATGCAAGCACAGATTCATGTTCGATCCAATGAAGACTCAGATGCATCCAGACCTGGAAAATGAGCTAGCTTCAAGCTACACAGAAGACAGCCTGTTGAGAACTATTTTGCACAAATATCATTGTTGGACACAACTATTCAGCAATCGTGTGTCTGTGGCTTATTTTTGGATGGTTGGCATGCTTACGCATGCCAAGTTTATAAACCTCAGGGTGCTCACTTTTGGAAGACGTATGTTTGGCACAAATCTTCAACACAATTTGCATACGTATGCAATATTTTGGAAGACGTATGCTTAGCAATCTGCAAGCAGATGTATGTTTGGGACAAATATTATTGTTGTGTTGCAATTCTGAGACACGTAAGTATGGCAAGCACAGCTTGCCATGCATATCAAATCATAAGAAGCGTAAGATATCGCTGATCTATGCAGCTTTCAGCCGCAAAACTCAGCTCTTTTTGCAGTTGGATGTTCAATATTTCAATATACGCATGGGCTCTGCCCATGCTCTTGAGAAAAGACAGCTAACACAAACATATTTATCGCATAATGAGCTGGAGCAATGAGCACAGCTCCAATCTAGTTGCTTGAGCTCAAGAAGCACAAGATGCAAAGATGAGCACCTGCAACGATATCTGCAGATGCAAATAACATTCTCTGCATAAAGCTGTTCAGCTTTGGAATAAGAGCTTTGGAATAAGATTCTCTGCTGCTATTCGTGTTGCTGAAGGGCTCTTGCAACAGTAAAGCTGTTCAGAATAGATTCAAGTAGACACAAGCCACAAGCAATTGCTTGCGATGAGATGTTACCTGCAGAAGGTGAAATGAGAGATGAGATAAATTATCTCCAGTTACCTGGAGTTACCTGCAGAATATCTTGGAAGAGGCTTATGTTTTGTTGATACACATCTCATCATGTTATTGATGTCTTGCATCAAGACAGCTTGCAGCAAGAAAGCATCAACAAAGTATTGTCTTCAGATGATGGGCAGTGTTTTTTGGTGGTTGTCTTGGTGTTTATGAGCAAGGGAACCAAAAAAACAAAGAAAAACAGACCCATGGCCCTGAACTAGCAGATGCAGATGATGGGCTGTGTTTTTTTGTTTTTTGTTTTTTGCTGAAAAAACTCAGCCCTCAGGAATCTGAAAAACTCAGCCCCCAGGAATCTGAAAAAACTCAGCCCCCATGACGACCCCTTCTGAAATCGTAACAGTGATACCTTGCATTTGGGCCGAGATGTGGCGTGATTCATAGGCAACTGCGCTTCAGAAGGCATTCCGGCCACGAGAAGTACTAGTTTAGAAGGTCTCTCATTTGCTTCCACCATGGGGCTGGGAAGACTATACCCTCCAGCGCTCGGACAAAGGCAGTCAGTGGCGTTGGCAACAATCTCGGGTCCATCTGTCCAAACCAGCACCATCCAACCCAACCGATACCTCAACCGATGCCCCAACCGATGCCCAAGCGATACCCAACCGATACCTTGTCCCACGTGACCGCTTGCGCAGTAGGCTCAGCACTCAGTGCAAGAGACATGTCTTTGAGTGATTACTGACAACGCCTGAAATGAGTGATGCCCTTGAGTACAAGATATATGGTCCGCTCCTCATTTTATTGATCTGCAAGGCGGAGCGTCGCTTCTTTTGCTAGGCTCGGGCACATGGCAGGCCTTGTGGATGCCAATAGCCTCGGGTAAAGCTTTCAGCTTGCAAGCCGTCACTTTCCGGTCCCAATGTCTCCGCATTGTGATCACGGGTGATGCACCCCCGATGTCACGCAGCGGGTGGGATCCAAGCCCGGCCAGTTCCATTTGGTCAGTCTTTGCAGAAGGAAATGTAAATGAAACTATACGTGGAACTGCGCATGGAACTGCAAGCGCTACATCCATGAATGTAAGTGGAAATGGACATGTATTTTTGGGGGAACGCCCTGTACAGCTAAAGGAAACAAGTTCTGGATGAAGCTACATGAAAACAGCCTTTAAATCAACAGGGACCCATAAATGGGCTACCCTCGGCATGCCACCTACGGTCATAAAATAGCCCTGCATTGCGACCAGTTCATGGATTCCTCGTTTCGGGCAACCTGATAAATCTGTCGGGGCTACTTGAGGTCACTATTTTGTGGGTCTGGATCTTCTGCATATTTCAGGTTTTGCCCCCTCCCCCTCCCCCCTACCCCCCCTCTTCTATACCCCCCTACACCTTCCCTATGTAGATTGTACCATGGGTTCCCAAAATAGGTTTCGGGGGTTCCACTCAAGCGACGAATGTGGAGCGAGTTGTTGCAGATTTTTTCAGAATAAGACTGCCCTTCTGGAGCTCTACAAATCTCGACATGGAATTCTGGAAACAACCTCTAAATGGAATCACAATGAGACAAGCTCTAATTGGGACTCTGGTTCCCTTGCACGAAGCGTCTTTTTCCCGAAAGGTCCTTCCTCTGAAAAGGAACCGAAGGAGTTTTTTCAAACAATAGTGAAACTCCAACTTGGTTTGGGTTTGCCTCAAAATAGGGGAACACCCCCAAAAAAAATCGTGGTTTCTTTTGGTATCCCTTTAAAACCAACCGCAAGGGGCTTCCCTAAAGAACACAGACCCATTCCCTAGTGACTCTGCGCACCGTGTTTGCTTTGAGGAACATTCTGGTCGGCATTGGCGCGGTGGTGGCGGTGTCTACGCTCCAGCGCTTCGGTCCGGGTTTTGTTGGGTTGTAGCGAGCAACAATCAGTTAACATACCCAACCTGTACCTGGAGCACCCTTCGTTACCTGAATTTCTGCCCCCAGCCCAAACGTATTGCAAAACCAGGGGTCGTCGCCAAAATATGGCAAAACGTACACTTGTTCCTGCTTCGAGCGTTTTCCCAAAACCGGGCTGGTCGGTCCTCCAAGATGATCGGTCGCTGAATTTTCGAAAGGAGCGAGCAGAAATCGAAGTGCAAAACGAGCGCACATATCCGCAAAATGAGCGCAAATATCCGCAAACGAGTGCAAATTCAAAAGAAAGAAAAGAAAAAGTAACAATACCCGCCTTCCTCTGGATGGAAGAAGGGGGTTTGGTCGAGCGTTTTGTGGGGGGCGAGCGTTTTTTTGGGGGTCGAGCAGAAATCGGTAGCTCGAGCTTTTCTTTTCTCGTGCCTAAAAAGAGGGCATGACCACACATTTGGAGATGTTCGTGCGAAGTGATTGTTACTTACTATAGTACCCTCTTCAGGTTGGTTCAAAGGGACACCAGCAAAAACGGGCACATCATGAGTCGACTCCTTTCGGTGTGTCTTCTTTTGACGGTGCCTGTTGATTGTTGAACAGAAAACCAGAGGGAAACCGTTTTTTGGGGGCCGGGGGGGGCAAGGGGGGAGGGGGTCACCTGGAAAAGGACACACCCGGACAATGCAGGGATTCTCACACGCGCTTTTCTGGGTGCTTGGAATTGCCCTTTGGGAATTGCCAATTTGGAAGGGTTACTACTCTTTGGCGGATGGTGGTAGGCATGACCAGAATCATTATCCGTCGGATTCTTGGATGTTATGAAGGGTGTCAGTTGTGTACCTGAGAATGCCCTTCTTGTGGCGGGTCCAGTATGAATTCTCTAGATGGAAAGAGATGTGCGATTGAAATTGGTAAGATCAGGTTTTTGGGGATGGCTATGGCTATAGTAGCACAAAACAAGTTAGCCGCAAACAACACGGATTGGGGTGGATGGAGGGTAAGTTGTCGACAGTCCCAGCCATAGGTACCAGCCAGAGAATGGAGGCAGGAAGGGCTGTTTGCTCCAACATCTTTCTAGCAGTAAAAAGTCGGCAATGGTGCCCGCCCTTTTGTGTATTGCATCTTGGCATTTGTCAGTCAAATCGGTGACCCCCCAACTTAGGTGCATGGTTTTATTCGGTTTTCCTTTGAAGCGCACCTAGATGTCAATCGTGTACTTTGTTGAGCGGTTCTTGCCGAACCCACTTACATTCAGCAACACACCAAGACAACTCGCTTCCCCTGCCTTTGATTTGTGCTTTGTGTGGGGTCAAAGACTATTGCACCTTCTCGTTGATCTTACCTCCCACTGATGTGCAACTCCTTTTCCCAGTGATTCAGCGTATTCCACCATCTGAATCCGTCCTGTTT